ATCAACAGCTTCCCCGATACATACATACTATGTACATACTTGTAGCACTTGTACATTTACGACACGGTAATTTGAGAGTAGATGGGTGCTAACACAATGTCTAGGTATGTAGCTTGGCTACTCTGATAATACAACAATAAGTTACCGATAAATCAATTCATCATTGAATGTTGTATCGGTACCTAAGATTGGGCCCCCGTTGTTATCGCGGGTCATTTCATGCCGCTCGGTATATCTCTCCCCGAGGGGGCTCGGCGACTGCAACAATCAACTCCGGGCTAAGCTCGGCGGGTTTCTCGGCAGGATTTTACCGTCTATACATACTCCGTGCTATTATTATTTTGTTCTAGAAGGGTGTAAATGAGTGGGGCGTGTAGAGCCAGTGACTTTGGTATGTACTATGTAATATGTGGTTTCATGGTTTCAGACTGCATGGAGGTAGACTAGTTCAATGTACACAACATCTCGATCAAGATATAAGCCAAGCTAAATGATAAAATACAGTCAATGACTGGTTCCTTGTTTCAAGAGAATCACTTTACATTAGGAACCAACTGCGCCGATCGTGATCCCGTTCGGCAGTTCAAGTCCGACAGGGAGTCCGCAGAGAAACTTGTCGGTATAAGTTCTCCCACACTTGGTGGCGAGTTTCTCTTCGATGTCTCTATGCATGTCATAGCTAGTAATCGTCAGTATTGCCCTGAACCTGAAGTCTTTCAAACTCACGCATTCATCTCTTCTATAGTAAGAACCTTCTTCGTGTCTTCGACTTTATATGTGGGAATATCTTTGTTGATCGAGAAACCTGTTCGTCAGTCAGAAAATAATGCACCACAAGGCTATTGAATGAAAGGGACTCACCAATCCGCTCGTTGATATTGTAGGCCGCCTTGGCTGCTGCTGCCTGCACCCTTGTGGCACGAGGCAGACGCACCTCCTCGTAAATGGCAAGGGCTTGAGCGATATCCCCAGAGAAATAGCGCTTACCAAACAGGAGTCCAAGTGCTGCTGCATCTTCGATAGCCATGCAGGCTCCTTGGCTTTGGTGGGGCATCATCGGGTGTGCAGCATCCCCCAAGAGACAGGTGTTACCGCGTTGAATATACGGGTACGGGTCATGGACCCAGAGACGCCATGGCTTGATCTCTGTCCCGATCTTTAGATGGCCAAACACTTGTCGATCTAGTTCCGGGTACGGTGTGAGAAGTTCCTCAATAGGGCGGTCTTCGGCGCCCCATGCCTGTGTTGAATAATCACCTTGGTCTCGCGAGAAGAAGCAATAGTACGACAGCAGCTTGCCGCCGTTACAGGGTGACAGCACAATCTTATCCCATTTGCCTTCCTGTCCACCCCAGTACTCCAGTGCGCTATCGTCGGAATAATTGACCAGGCCAAGCTCGATGGCATCCTCGGTTTTGACGTTGGCGTGCAAGCAGCTCTGGTCAGAGGGTCGCTTTTCTGGTGTGATTCCCAGAATCCCTCGAACAGCCGATCCGATTCCATCTGCACCGACTATTAGGTCATGGCTCAAGACCTCGCCGTTCTCGAATACGATTGTACTCGTTTTCAGGTCGATATCGCGGCACTATAGCCCAGGCAACATTAGCACATCCTCAGTTCCAGTCAGTTTTCCGTGATAAAAGTACTCGGTAGTTCACTTTGAGAGTTACTGGCGCTCCTTCACCCTCGCCCAGCGCCGAATCCTTTAGCATTGTATGCATATACTGGCGATGGAACATGTTGTAGGCATATCCCCAGCGCTTCTCATAATCGTTGAGGTCGTACACACTAACGGGCTCACCTGTCTTCCAGTCGCGGTTGATAAGCTTCTTCAAAACCACTGGGTCACCCTTGACGACATCCACGTTCCACTCGTGTAACCAGCGGGTTCCGTTGGCAGCACACGAAACCGAAGCGCCGACTTCACCTGCAAAGTCCGACTTTTCATAGATGGTCACAGCGTGTCCTGCACGACGCAAGGCAACTGCAACAGACATGCCTCCGATACCCCCGCCAATAACACCTACATTAAGACGCCTCCAACTTGACATGATGTATGTAGATATATCAATAAAGCTTGAGATTATGAGCTAGGTTGAACCGGAAGCAAAAAGTTGTGAGTTACAAGATATATATATATACCAAATTCTCTCCTCTTGACCTGTTGATCTCTCACCTTATCTTTTCACAAACTTCACCTCGACATTGGCGGATGTTGCACTCGGGTCGCGGGCCGCGCACTCGCGCTTATCGTCGGCTTTTATACTTCACCTGCCTATCTCGAAGTTGTCTAAATCTGTGGGCTAATCCTAAATTAACATCAATGTGAGGGTGAATTACTTACCGTGAATTACAAGCCCAGGGAGAAGGGGAGGTGGGTGGCGGACATCAAACAATGAGGATTCGCTGGTGGTCGCCCACCTGGGAAAAGTGTGACTGCAGGGTGAGAATCCAGGTGAGACCATCTCAGCTAAACAAGAACAGAATATTATTGAAAAACATTGCTCTGAAACAAGGACACACCCGCGATCGGCTACAGACTCTCCGTATATACTTTGTAAACAACAAACACTAGATCAACACTCACGCCATCCCACCAGATTGAAAGAATCCTAGCTGTGGGAAGGAAAGAAGGAAAGAATCAACTAATGGCTTGGCCCCAATCAATGGCGGAACCCCGATTTAACATTTCAAAAGTCCCGCCAAGGCACTGCCGGGAAGAGGTATTATTAGCTTCTTTCACTACCTTGAAGTTAGAGTGGCGTTCATATATAAACTGAGTGTGTCCACCTACAACGGCGCTATTCCCAAAGCGACAATGTAAGTCCGCAGGGGCGCGAAACGGAGGAGTGAGGCTCATCCCCGATCATCCCTATCCACTTCCCCTTTCGGCAATTAAACTCCGGATCGTGTACTTCCCGATGGGGATAATCTGCTGGACAGATTACAGATCTGTTAATGTGGTGTTTGTTCCTTCTGATGATTGGGCCTTGCGAGTCAAACAGTGTTTTGTTAGAAGAGGATTTGGTTTGATTTAGGGTCATTTGGTCAGTTTGGTCAGTTTGGTTGGCTTTTTGTGGATTAGAAGCTCGTTATATGCAATATATTTCGGCCCATCGTTAGCAGTTGTCAATTAATTCCACAAGTTATTGGTGGCATAGTGACTTGAACATTTTGATCGATATCTTCATCACTCTATTCTTCGGTGCTTTCAACTTCGACCTCAGTACGATCATATAACCCATCCCAATGGCATCCCCCCAGCCTTCTTCCATATTCGGAAAAGACGTCGAGTCTGACACAATGACCGTCGACAGTCATATCAAGACAGAGGTAGTAGTAGAAGAACAACCAAAGCCCGCAGGACACTCTCCACCACCTAATGGAGGCACGAGAGCATGGCTCCAAGTCCTTGGGGCCTTTTTCTTGAACTTGAACACTTGGGGTCTCTTGAATACCTTCGGCACATTCCAGTCCGAATATAGTACAGGATTGCTGAGGGACTCATCGCAGTCCTCGATTGCCTGGATTGGATCGCTGCAGGCGTTTCTGATGCTGGTGATTGGGGTTCTGTGTGGACGCGCACTCGATGCTGGGTATTTCTACATGGATATCACCCTGGGTGTCTTTCTTGAGGTGTTCGGCATGATGAGTGAGTTTTGCCACCCATCGACAACGAGAGAAATACTAACCCAACAGTGACTTCAATTTGCAAGGAGTACTGGCAGCTTATCTTGGCCCAGGGACTATGTGTCGGCATTGGTGCCGGTATGTCATTCATCCCAAGTGTCGCCATTGTAAGCACGTATTTCTCGACGCGACGATCCACGGCGCTGGGTCTGGCTGCCACCGGCTCAAGTGTCGGAGGTATTATCTACCCTGTTGTGCTAAGACGCCTGATCGCCCAGATTGGACTGCCCTGGGCGGTCCGAGTCATGGCATTCATCATGTTAGGAACGCTTCTTATCTCGGTCGCTGTCTTGAAACCTCGCCTTCCGCCTCGCAAGTCAGGCCCGCTGATCAATGTCGAGTCGCTGCGGGACCCCGTCTTCGCCATTTGGCTCCTCGCTGCATTCTTCATCTTCATCGGTCTCTACATCCCATTCTTCTACGTCGAGCAGTACGGCATCAATCTCGGCATGTCAAGGGACATGTCTTTCTATATGCTGATTGTTATGAATGCGGGCTCAGTCCCCGGCCGTGTCATGCCGTCCATGATTGCCGACAAGATCGGTAACCTGTCAGTCATGATCCCGTCTGTCTTGCTCACCGGTATCTTGATGCTCGCGTGGATCAGCGTGGAATCTAAGTCGGGTCTGATTGCTATTTCGGTCTTTGTCGGCTTGACAAGCGGCTCTATTCAGGCTGTGCTTCCCGCGACAGTCGCCTTCCTCTGTCCTGATCTGTCTAAGCTGGGCACCAACATAGGCATGACCCTCTTTACGTCGGGTCTGGGATTATTAATCGGTAGTCCTGTGGCGGGTGCGATCCTGGACCACCAGCGAACTTCTGGGGGAGATGTCTTCTGGGGTACGTTGACCTTTTCTGCGCTCTTCATCTTGGCAGGAGGGGTATGCTTGATCATTGCTCGCGTGCTCAAGGTGGGGTTCGCTTTGAAGAGGGCTTGAGATTGTGAATTAGATGGGCACAAGAGGGTTTCTGAGGCAAAATCAGATCATAACTTTGATAGAGGAGGCAATATAGAAAATGTGAATCTGCATGCTTAATTTTCATTAACGAACGCCTGCCACAAAACTGTCTTCCATAGAACTCTTGCCGTAAAAGATCGCGGGAATTGTCGAGGTCAATGAGGACAAGGCGAAGATAGTTGAACGTCGACATGCAACTCGGTAGGGTAGGCGTAGTTGTCGAAGGAGAGAAAGAAAGAAAAGAAGAGAAAGAAAAAAGGAGTTGATAGCGCCTACTGCTGAGTTCTTATGTATCTATTCCCTATCTGTCTATGTGAAGGTGAAGAAAATTAGGCGCCGGCGGATTCAAATTTATACGCCTTCCCACAAGATATTAGACGTGGATAGAATCGTCGAAGTAGATTCGAATGGCGCCATGGAATATGGTAAACATAGATCGGACTGCATATCCAGACTGGGAGATTCCAACCCTGGGTAAAGGTCGCAGTCGCTTGGAAACAACGTGTGAATTAAGGGATCTGGAAGCTGTGCATGGTCCATCCAGTTCGCCGCAATAATATTGGTGGCATTTGGTGGAGCTGATGTCCTGATGGTATTGAATCCTAGTAAGGCAAACATTGAGTCTTGATACTCCCGTTTCAGAGAACGCTCCATTTCGGTTACGATTTCCTCGGCAGCTGTGATACCGACCTGGAAGAACTTGAAATCCTGTTGCGAGCTGTGAAAGTCGTTGATTAGGCTTGAGGTGAAAGTTATTGCGACAGCAAGGACAAGTCTCGTCTTCGCTACAACAGGGCCGAGTCGGTATCTTCCCGCTAGAATCTGTGATAAAGAGTCTAGATATTTCAGCAAAAGCTGTTGAAACATGACCAGCGTGGGCGGGGGGGCATTGCAGACGGTTGTCCCCAGAGTGATGTTCCGCAGGCGAACAACCACAAGACATGCGGTCAATGCTGCGCGGGCAAGATCAGTCCAAAGTAGATGGTAAGCCACGCTAGACAACTCAGAGCCGCTCTGTAACCCTTCCTGCAACTTATAGAGAATGGACACCGAATTGTCCCATGCTTCATAGAGATCGCCCCGCTGTGAATTAGGAAACGGAACTCCTAGGACAAAATTGAGTGTAATGATGATCATGAAGCTATGCACATGCACTGATAACAAGGCTTGCTGGAGCTTTTCGATTGGACTGCATGACGAAGCTCCCTCTTGCAGATTCGGGGGCAATTCACGCAGAATCTTGTGGAAGGAGGCACGCATTCGATCCCGCACCTCGCTTGATAATTGAGGAGTTGCGGAGCAAAGTCGCTGGTGCAATGGAGCTCTCATTATAGCAAGCTTCATTGCAGCGATGTTGAAAGCCTGCTCAGTTGCTTCCTGGGCCTGGTTCAATGAGGTAGCTGGCTCCATGGTTCCTGGGTCAAGGGTCAGAAGGTCGATAGGGGTCGGGAGAGGACAGTCCACATCTTCCAATCGAATACCAAAGTGGGATCCACTACTGATGCAATAGTCGAGGTTCAATCGAAAGAAGCACGCCCATAATCGTTTCCGAACTTCTGCATAGTAAGGGGTGACACCGGAGAACAAGGCCGGATCCCTATGCAAGCCCATGCTCAGAACTATTTGCGTGGTCAGCCCCATAATACCCATGAGACTATGAATCTTGTCAGAGTCAGAGACAGTGATTGTCTTCATGATGATTAACAATAATAAAGCCTGTACGACGCCGATACAAGGCTTTTGGAACCGTGTCGATGTATGAATGCGGCTCTCCGCTTCTTTGAGTATCAGGCGCCCGTGTAGTCGCTCCAACTTGTCAGTCTGCATGGCAATCGCAATGACTAACAGAATCTTGAGAACGTGCACTTCATTGGCGTTGACGCATGCAATCGATATTTCCTCCAGCTCGGTCATTAGGCAGTTCTGGTCGATCACATGGTAGATTTTACCATAAGTTTCACAAAATCGCCTGATCCACTTTTCGCACGTCAATCGATCGGGGAGGAGATTCAATAGCGTCTTATGATCTCCATTCATCACGGCTGGCACCGAATTTGCGACGCGAAGAAGAGACTTGACTTCTGCGAAAATTCTCCACGTCGGTTGAAAATCAACGGTCTTCTCCAGCATGGCCCCTATTACTGGCAAATTGTTGCACACGGCCATCCAATGAGTGCCACCAATCAGCCTTGTTTTGAAGTCCGACCCTTTGAAAGCACTATTAGCATGACTGGCGGTGGACTGGTTATGGGGCGATTGTGGATCGTGGATCTCGCCATCGGGGGAGTGGGGTGCCGGCTGTTGCAACGCGAGTAGATCGATCTCTTTGCTTCGAGAGGATACTCTCGATACTAATGGTCTGGCAAATTCCGAGCCTGCTGGACTTCTGGGACGGGAGTAAGCGCACTGTGTTGCCTTTCCACGATCTTGGCACGGTTTGCATGGTGACTTGCGATTGCAGCGCACTTTGGATTTTCGACAATGATTACATGCCACAGGCTCCCGAAAGCGGGGTCTCTTTCGACCGTTATTTTTCTTGGGGTTTTCGAATGCGTCTGCATCCAGATGGCTGAAGGTCAACATCTCGTAGGTGTAAAGGGTTGGAGATCGAAAAAGGTTGATAAAGAACGAGGATCAGTCTTTGAATTGGGGAAAACGGGGTTTGCTCCTAGGGATAAGGTAGATGGATGTGGTCAGGTTCTTTGTCATCCATGAAATGGCCCCCAGACCTGTAAACCTCGGAGTCATGCGGCCCGCGGACTCGTAGATGGCTGAGCGGGAAGCCTCTGTTCTCCACATACGTACGGAGGAGTATGTACTATATATATACATATATACGTACCTCTATAAATTCTTAGCCATTTTGCTTTACATTTTACATGCGTCTCAACCTTGTACCTTGAAGATCACCTGAAATAAATGCTGATGATTGGAGCCACACTATTGACATTTGGAATGTGCTATGGTGAGTCTTGCAGATGTTTCAAAATAAGATACTAATTGTCTTGGGGTAAGATAGCGTGGGCCAGTGTATATTGGGCATTCTTGCATGGCAATCACTTCAGTAGGTAATTACAGACCCTTTTTTTTTCAATTTTTCATTTCCATTCTTGTTTTCATCTTATAATGGATATCTGTCTGATTTTCCTATAGAGACTCACTCGTTTTGCTTACCTCATTTTTGAATACTAGGTAGTCTGGTGTAAGTCGAGCTTGTCTGTATTTTCAGGTATGTCTCTCACAGCATTCATGTCTTCAAAAAAGATTGACTTTTACTGTATGATAGCATGACAACCTTTCAACCAATTTCTTTTGTACCGAAAAATAGCCAAGATGAAGTTTTGGCTTTGCCTGTGAGACAGATCATGGCTGTTCCGCATGGTCAAAGTGCGGGAACAAATCATTGGTGTCTCTACCTTTCGGTATCCCATGGGAAATCCGTCCAAATTGATTGGCAACCAAGCTACAGTGCTTCAAGCACTATACTTCGAGGGGGTTCCAAAGCCAATTTCATTTGATAGAGATATGAGATCTACAATGAAAGTGTAGATGTAACTGGAAATCTCTGAATTGCGTGGAGAAAGAAGGAAAGAAACTATCTACATGCTAAGACTAAAATACTGGGAGCAATCAGCGGCAGGTCACGTGACCTCCCTGTCAACATCATTATTTCGGAGTTAATGTGCAGGGTGCCTGATGATGCCCAAGCAGAGTTCATTATCGACTTTATTCCTGGGCTTTCAGTCTCGCAAGTTTATGATTTGCTTATCGAGAATGGGCGCCATAAGTATGAGTTTGATGCAGATGGAGTGGGGTGCAGATACTGGACTCTCGGTCAAATCGATCTTTTATATCAAGTCCGATTTGCGACAAACGTCAATCAAATCATAGCAGCAAGATCCGCCATCCTGAAACTGTGGCCAGAGCAGACGCCGCTTGCTCTTGATCAGGGGGCCTATCATTTGTAAGGATCGAGGGTGCGAGTTGTTAGGTAGTTAACTGACAAAATGAGTGAATGACGCCAAATTGACCTCTTGAGTCAGATACGAGAGCAGCATAAGTTACTGCAAAGTTTCAGTATCCAATTTGTAGTGGTATTGGCATTCCTCTCTTTACGAAGTAGAGTACTGTCAGACATCTCGCTCGTCTATCTCCTCGATTTTCCCATACTGGGTGTTTTCTACTGTGAAAATGTATGTGAAGTATGGCTTTAAAACGTGTGAATATCCCGAATTCCCCGGGCACACATCTCAACTACATTTCTACCATAAAGTACAACATCCACCGCTAGCTTATCCTCAGCACCTTGATAAATTTTACGAAGTGGTACAGATCAAATTTCCCATCCTATGGGGGCCTTCTCTCTTCTTTGTTTGAATACTTTAATAGAAACGACTTTGAACACCAAAAGAAAGAACGGAGTGCATATTGGGATAAGTGATTTGAGAATCAATACAAGCGTGTGGACTCGCAATCGTCATCCCCGGAAATATCACGGATACAATTTCTCTCTGTTTCATCCGGGTTTTTCTCCAAGGGTGCCAAATAATTGAAAAAAAAAAGAAAAGAAATAGGTCTTCGTTGGTGTCAGATTAGGTGCATAAGAGACGTTCTTTATGAACAAGGAGACCTTGAAGCGAGTATGTTATGAAAAAATACTTCCCAATTCTAGCTCTGCGTTGGAAACTACTAGTGATATCTTTGGTACTATTCAATCTCCTATAGCCAAACACCGCGTCCTTTCTTTGTGCTTATTTATGGATTATCGGTGATATTAATCGAAGACATAATTATCAATTATTATTCTGAACCGGTCGGGAACTCCATTCTTTGGAGTAGACAAACCTGAATACGCAAACCTATGTTCTCTTCTAATATGAAGAATCCGATGACCAGTCGAGTCAAAGGACTTGGTGGAGATCGAGGGAGAGGGGGATTAATATATTGGTTAGGGAGCTATTTCACAGTCATAAATTCGTCATAAATATACATATCAACGACGCCCTCGACTGCTTCTGAGAATCTACGGAGTACAGGTATCTTATTTGACTTGTCATCATGGATCCTCCCCGTTTTGGATATCTGCGTCGCTCACCACCACCAACTTATTATGCGTCCAAAGAAGATAGGATGGAAGCACTCAATAAGCTAGCAAGGCCAGCTGCAGATGTATCCAGGATTTTAGATGAAGCACAAGTTCCAAACTTTCTCTGGGGCAAGATGGCCCTGTGTTTAGTTGGGGAATGGATGGAGCAAGAATGTGTGAAGATTTCTTACTTGACTCCCTATGCCCTGTTCTTGGATCAAAATTTAACTCTCTAGAATTTCGAATTCGTGATTCTTGATCATATGATCACAGTGGCCTCTAATGCCTTGATCGCTGCCGGATTTAAGTCTTGTACGGACTCTGACTGCCAACAAGTACACACCAAAGGAAATAATACCCTATTCCCACAGCGCATTTTCACCTCGAGTCTCAATATCCTCGACACAGTGTGCTAAGCTGCACGTCAAGTCTGCTTACCTCTGGTGGCTTCCAGACTTTGAGCTAGGTCCTCCTGCTGCAGATCACCCCGACTTGATGCTTTCCAATGATCCTCGACTCCCACCGTTTGCACCCAAGGCATTTTGAGTTCATGGACTGAGATTTATCCTATCAAGATTCTCAATTCAAGCTCTTTCACTGAGTCAGTCTGGTGACTGATTTTTCGAGACCTCGACCATGCCAATTTATACGACAGGATATGGATGGGACTTTTATTCCCACTCATAGAAAACCACACGCACCCCCAACGAGCGATGAAAATAAGACTGCGTCCGAGATTCCAAACTATGTGGGAGGAATTTAATTTGCCCCAAGAGGAGGAAACGCGAAACATATGGACCCCAGCACTTGAACTTATGAAGGAGATGAGGGATAACAATGAGCTACCACCTCCACCTCCCTCTAATTGGTGGGGAACAGCCGAGGAGGCGATAAAACATCAATGTTGGTTGTGATTTGATTTACTTTTGATTTCCCTGTGTTATATTTGATTTTGGGTTTGGTTTTGGTTTGCTTTATTAGATTTGTTTAAAATGTTTCAGTCTCGACTTGCCTTCGCAAAAGGGCATCTAGAGGAAAAAAGAGGGGAAAAAACATTGGATTACCAGGACCGAAACAACTTTCTATGAACCTGAATAACTGATGGTTCACTGCTTTATAAAAGGCGCTTGATGATAGACATAACCCCCAAAGCCGTTTCGGATCAATGTGTCGATTCAGAAAGTGAATACACCTATAGTTTTCTCAAACTAATAAGAGAAATATTTCAGTTTCTTTGAGAAATAGGAAATAAAAGCCCGGACATTAAAGCTTCATATGGTTTTACAATACCTGCGAGGGCAATAGTATCTGAAAATTATGCTTATATAAACCCCCATATTCATAAGCCAAATGCCGTTGGAATATCTCTATTCATATTTAATCATGAAGACGCCAGCCCCTCAATTTCTTTCTCTCAATAATGCTGCTAAAAAAATCTTACATTACCTTCGGGGCTTTGAAGAATTCAAACAAGTTCAAACACTTGTGACCGGTGACTTGGCTTTGTGGAATCATTTCCCCGGCAGTGAGGTGGGAAAGGTGTATTGCCCTCAAATGAAAATATATAATGAATTGAATTCAAAGAAGAAAATGACTTTATTCTGCTGACGGGAAGTGGGATTTCTCATCTTTCTTGGAGATGGATTTGATGATCGGGTAGAGGAGCTTCCCTCAGGGGCGCCGGATCTGTTGAAATTGGGGCTGTCCTTGATGCACCCAAACAGTTTTCGGCAACAACTCAATTTCTTCCAAATCGATTATTCCATTGAGGGCATTCAGAGCGCTGTCTCAATTCAATTCTTACCGAAGGAGATAGTGAGTGAACTCCATCAATGCCACACTGCTCTATTTACATGCTTAACGGTAAAAGTTACCCTATATCCCACAAGAAATATTAACAATCGCAGAGACCAGAAAAAAGCACACCGATGATCTACCATATATCTCTGCTTTGGACTTGCTCGTTTACATGGTTAATTACGACATGAGTGTAGAGACACGAGAGCCATATAAAGATGCGAGGACAATCAGCCAATTCTTGGAACATCTCCAATCAAAGGGACCGGTTATTTCCTCGCCTCAGCAAAGGAAATCTTTGGCTAGCGGATTGAATTAGCTTGTGAAACATGGGCGATGGAATGAAGAGTGGTGGATGCAGGAGCTGGGCTTGATTGAAAAAGAAAAGCGAGACCAGATCTGGTCAGAATAGATAGATGTGTAGGTATACAAGGTAATTCATACTTTTACAAATTTAATGATCGAATACCCAAATTCCAGAAAACAATTTCTAGTTGAACAGCAAGCCATATTCGTTTCTCGGTTACTATAATAAGTAATTGGTTAGAGAGATTATCAGGGGTTATAGGGCTCCAAGATTACAATGCAGCACTGTCCAGAGGGCATTTCTAGTAATTTTGACTTCATATTGCGAACAGTAATTTATCCAATAATAACGAGTAGTTTGACTCATACCTGATTTACTAGGTAGTATTCTGGTAGGAAGTGCTAGTGTCACTGTGACATGTGCCCTTGTGATCGATTTGCGTACTGATTTGATGAAGATCAGGAGAAAAAAAGAAAAAGTCACATATAAGCAGAATGTACGGAGTATAAAAACTATGATTCCATTACACACTTAAGCTGTCAGCTGTCAAATGCAGGGTCTGACCGCGTCACCCTGTTTTGTCTGAAAATTGGGATATAACTGCCTAACCAGACGCCTAGTGCTTCCAAAAATCTCCTTTCTAGAATTACCTCCGAAAAAATGAGATTCAGTGTCCTACGGACCAGTATGACTTTAGCTTTGCAAGCCATAGCTGTACTCTCCCAGTCAGGGTTACAAAAGCGCTATCCAGCAGGATCCTTCTCTATCCTGGCGTACGGTGTTGCCTCTGAGGGAATTAATGTTTTTTATTCTGATGGTAATTATCATTTCTCACATCAGTCTGATGCTCATCTGAACCGGTACTCTAGGACTCGCATATGTCGGCGACTCTTCCAAGTGGGTGTCTGGGTCGGTGACAACCGACGTTACATGTAGGATCCATACTCCTCTTTTACATCATTTCATTTGTGTTTTTCTTTCTAGGGCAACTGCTAATCCCATAGTAGTCGTCTTCAAAAACTCCCAAATCATTGCCACTGCCACCCACAAGGATTACACCTTTGATGCTGACACGTTCCTCTACATCCGTCCCACACCCAATCAGGTGCTACCTGTGGGTTTCACTGGGAACAATTTCGATACGCCCGATGATGCGAAGGTAGATCAATTTCTTTTCTACGGCAGGTATCTCATGTGGCAAAATGAGAATCGACTCCTATGCGATTCGTTCCGTCTGAGGGATACGGATGTCGGCGATATTTACCAGCTCTACTGGGACACTTCGAACCTTTATCCCCCCGGCTTCTTGATTCCGACCGTAAAGTCGTCTGTTTAGGGCAATTTGAAGCTACATCTTGAAGCTCTTTATTTTCAGAGCGCGTATACTCATGCAGTCTTATCAAACATTATAGGTTCTAGAATAGGTCGTCAAATCTTAGTATGCTGTGTAGTAGACCTAAGGTCAGGGCTACCTAGATATGTAATAAGGTCATGAATAGATATACCCCAGTAGTACTTACAGATATTTTATATTATCATATTGTAGTCGATTCGGCGAGAAATGGGAAACTATCCCATAATGACAGGTCCATGCCCTCCCAGTCAAATAAAGTCCCATCAATTATGGGGGGTGTGACAACAACAGCAGCGCCGTCGTTCGAATGTAACCACGGGTATGATGTGACACTCCGCACTCGAAGTGAGGTCGCCTTTCTGGCTTCTTCATCATCTCCCTCTGGTTGTGTCTGCGGAGTTGTCGGGCTGTCGTTAAAACTAAAGATCCGACTGACGTATTGACTCCGTTGCTGGCGGGCTTGGGCCGCGAGTCGCCTGCGCTGGTCGCCTATGGCGGCTTCTAGCATCGTTATTATTTCTAGATAGTGGGCTGCCTGGGCAGACTGTGATGCCAGCATGCGCAAGATGGTCAAGGCACCGCGGAATACACCATCAACCTCAGGATCCACGTCATGGCGAGAGAACATATAGAACCCGAGCACAAGGGCTGCGGCAAAGATGAAAGCCCTATTTGATGTCAGTATTGGAGTGACTAGATGGGTATTTGCGCAGACAAACTTGAGAATACACATATTCTGAAGAAGAAGGCGGGACTGATGAACCTCCAAACATGTCTGCAGCATGTATACAGCAGAATCAATACATGCCGCTGCGAGCTGCGAGTTGACTGGGTCCTCTTCAGGCACCTCCTCACTGGGATCGCCGGTCGAGAGGCTCTGGTGTAACCGGGCCAGCCGGATACCCAAGGCCGAGACGAGGAAAGGTCGGGTGACTAAGATCACCGCAAAATGATATGAACATGCAACATGCATGCTTCCAATTGTATGTTTTCGGAAAGTGCTCTGGTCCTTGTGTTCTAAAGTCGACGTCCTTAATGATAGCGGTAGATGATCACTCCAGCTATTTAATTTGCACAATAGCACGTCCGCTTTCTCTGCAGATGCAGCTTTTTCACTGTAAAGACAGATTATTACTTCGTTCAGGATTAACGATAATTGATACGAAGCCAACAGGCTAGGATCGATCGGTGTGGCCTCAATCCAACTAGGCTCTTCTCGGTTCTCGGGCAATAGAGGTGATATAGCAGAAGGTCTTCCGAGAATCGAACTGACAAGCAAATCGAGAATACATAAGCTCATCCATAATCGTGATCTACTGGAGATCAGCTGAGCCGAGTAGATCTTGCGAGAGGCCTTTACCGTTCATCGCCCTCATGACTTTCGTCGGGGTTTATTAACCCTGGAGAGTCTGCATGAAGCCCCAGCGCCACAGCTGCTCGTAGGGCCACTCCCAGGTACATGAATGCCGTGTTTCGGCGGCATGCCCCCAGCATATAGAAGGACATGAGTAGAAACACTCGGACTAAATCCATGCTAGGATCTTCCAGCATGTTGGCAAATGTTCTGGCTTGGCCGCGAGAAAAGTAAAATCGCTCCACCTGAAGGGCCTTTTGGTCGTTTGGGTAGGATTGTGCGCCGATAGCGACCATAAGGTCTATGATGGCCGCCTTCGTCTTTTCCTGGTCAGTTTTGGGCTCTGCTGGGCAAACGAATGAAGATAAAGTGTCGTCGCTAAAGCTCAAATTGAAAAAGCCGCTCGTCTTGCATGTTGTCAGCAATTTACCCACCCTACATAATTGTAATTCGCCCTACCGCTGCGTGATAACTCTGGATAAATCGGTTCTTCTCATCAACAGTGCAACATTCTTCGGAAAAATCCAAAACATCATGATGAGTTTCCGCCTCTAACATATCCCCACTCCTTCCATTATGAGAGAACTGGGACGGTCCGATATGTTGGGTCACTGTATCCCGAAGCAGTTGTAGAAATGAAAGCGAGGCGGCTTTCCCGACGTACACTGCGGACAGTGTCAATCAAATGATTTATATAAAAGCCACGAAATTTTATACCTCGTTCCCCCTGTAGGTTGCGGAGCATGCGCGGATGTGTCCGATGCGTAACTTCAGGCGAGTGTGATCCCGTCTCTGGCGCGTCAGAGTCGGGATAGGCCATACGGATGCGGCTGCCATGGGACTGTGACCTCAAAGGATCTTGCAAATCGACTCCCATTGTCCTCGATGTCCGAGGTGTTTCAGCTGTGGGTTGAGAAGCAGGTACGAGGCGACTGCGGAGGGCTGGACTTGGTAAGGACTTGAATGGGGTGCATGAGCGGCCACGTCCTTTATGGATACAGTTGGTGCATGGGAAATAGCCACTGCAGCGCTTTTTTGATACACGACAGGCAGTGCATGCAGTGCTTGCTCGCAGCCGATTCGCTGGGTGAACCTTGGGGCGTGGCATGTTTGAAGAATCTCAAGTCCGGGTATGTACAAGCTTGGGGTTAGATGACCTCGCGAGATCCCCGCATAGCAGTGATAAAGATAGGCGATAAGCGTGCGCGGCCCGACGTATTTCCGAAGAGGCACTTCTAGTGGATATATGTAGGTACATATACTTACAACGTATACGTATGAAAGAGAAAGACTTCTATTATTACCTCATTTATATACGGAATACTCTAGAAATAAATTGAAAATATGATAAGTAAATGTACTATATACACATCGACCCTTTTGATGCAACCAACGCGACCTTTTGGATAGACACCCCATGTACATACACAATGTACATGTATATATCCGAGGTATGTTGTGGATATAAGTGCTCTGTACGGAGTACATATGGATCGAATCTTATGTTTTGCTGATATTGTACATGATGAGACTCAATAGGGTGGAGAAAAATTACATATGTATATATATCTTATAGGGGGTTTGTTGAAAGATGTTCGGAAAAAGGAGAGATGCATGTTTGCTCAGAGAAGATGATATACAATAATATACAATGAAGTACAGGCCTGGTATCCACTAATTCGAAAGAATAGAATTATAGAATCCATAAAGAATGAAAAGAAAAATAATACAAAAGTACTCCATATAGCCCTGGAGGACCGAAGTTGAAAATTTCTATCGGATCCGCTCTAAACAAAAGGTGTTATTGGACGGGGCCCATAATAGAAAGACCAAACCAAGCAAACAAGGCATATCAAGCAAACAAAAGACATTCTCGCTTAGCCCTAGCGTACTGAGAAAGAATATAAATAAGGCTGCCCCCCGGACCTCGTTAAGTTTTTCAAGCGACTCTACGTATGTTATCCTACACCCCTACGATTGAAAAGAAAAATCATCTTTTCATCACAAATGAATATCTTACTGACCATCTCTACAGTTCAAAGAATCACTTTAGAGTAGACGTCCCCTTTCTAAACTCTTTAAAAGAGCCACAGAATCTCCACCCTTGCTGATGACTACATGTCCTCGATGCCCTAAAGTGAAGCCTTTTTACTCCCGCCTCGACTGTCACGCGTGCTGTTTGCAGTGTCTGTGTTTCGGTCCAGGGAGTGGTGATGATCTTGACCTGGTCTCGGCGTCTGATTTCGGTCGGTCGGTCCTGGTGGGTGTCGAGGAGGTCTGAAAGGTCCTCTTCCGTTTTGGTTGTTGGTATGGAGAGCTGGGAAGGGTTTATGCAGATATGTAGTAATCAGATTTATATTCATCTTATTGGCTCTTCATTCGGATTCTTCCTATTGCCCGTAATATTCATAAGCTAATATAGATGTCTCGGTGCTGATTTTCTTATACACGTGACTCGTGTACCGTGTAGCCAGTTTTACACCTCGACCTCGGCACCGCTGTCTTGACCCAGTTGAATCCTTTGAATATGTACTGTCTTGGTACTGCCTAGTAATGAGTTGGTCATAGTACATATATCAAATCCTTTGCCGCGACCATCATGTAGTTGATAAAACCGTCTCCTGCCTTCGGGTATCATGTCTCGTGAACTGCTAAAGAATTCAATATGTAGGCCCGCCTTCACTTCGCCTCGGTGCCTCCAGTTTTCTCCGAGGCCCCAGCGCTCCCCTTGGGTCCCTTATTCCGTGATCCACGCCCCCCGCGAGATCCGCGGGAGGAGCTAGTGTTACCTCCAGCGTTACTGCTAGCTCCAGAAGTGCTTCCAGCAGCTTCGGTAGGAACTTTAGCCTTATTATTGGCGGTGAAACCCTCGCGACCTTTCCGAGACTTTTCAATTCCGGGATTCTCTTTGCGCTCCAACACCACCACTTGGCTCTGGGCCACCGACACAGGACTCGCAGCAATGGCTTTGCGAAGTGCTTCTGGTTCAGCAAAATCTACGTACCCGAATCCCTTCTTCTTGTCAATCTCGACCTTCGTCACTGCCCCGAATGGCGTGAATGCAGACTCTAGGAGCGCCTCGGTCACACCTTGAGATGGATTGGCGTGCTTGAGGAACGCTTGTTTAGCAGTTGATGGGGGCTTTACTTTGCCACCTTTGGTAGACTTGGCTGGTAGCGTTGTAGGCGGTGTAGCAGCCGCATCGGGTCGCGAGGATGACTCGCTGTCCCTGGGCTTTGAAGAATTGGCTGTGGAAGATATGATTTTGGGAGTTCTGGTGCTCTCTTTCTTGGGCAAATCGGCCGATGGAGTAGCTGAGTCTCGAGCGCTCTCGTTCTTGGATGATGCAGTATCAGTCGGACCACCTTTGCCGCGTCGTCGCCCACCAGATGTGGCGAGTCCAAGATCACGCTGAAGGATCTTAGTGGCTATTGTGACATTTCCGCGCTCTCTCTTCCGCTCTGGAGCTGCAGTTGTATCCTTTGTAGTGTTTGATGGGATAGTCGACTTTCCTCCTTTGGAATTGGCAGCGGCTGCTTGCTTGGTTGCCTTGACAGAGTCCTTGCTTGTCTTTTCTCCTTTAGGTTTCTTGTCGGAAGAATTTGCCGCAATTTCCTTGTCGCCCCGTTGCAGAAGCTTTTTTGCTTGCACTTTCTCCTGCTTTGATTCCTTGTCCAATCGACTGTGCTTGGATTTGGATCCACTGCCGTCCTTTAACTTGCTGGCTTTCTTGTCTTTGATGAACTGTACTAGCGGAGTAGTCATCACGATTTCCTTCTTCTTGTCGTCACCATCAGCGATGAAATCCACAGCCGCGGGCCTGGTAATGGGCTGGGTCAGACCTTCCAAGAAAGCGATGAAGTCTGTATCTTGATCAATCGTGCCTTGACGAGCATCCTTGCGTGAGCGGCTTCCAGGGGTCTTGGCATAAGGTGCAAACTCTAGGGACGGAGGCCCAAGTAGAATGGGGTCATGTAGAGTGTTACGAGCATCCTGGAAAGAAGCCTGGCGGACGGCTTCCGAGAGCAAAGAGACACATTCGGTGGACACCACGTGGATGTATGCTCTTGACGGACGAGATGGCTTGTTGGGACTATATGGAGAATTCCAGTCAGTTGAAACCAATAGGACATTGCGTTGGAGGAGGATGAATCCTACTCTTTCGACACCTTGCCAGGTTTGTACTGGAGCCAGTCGACATTTCCCGCCCCAACCTTCCACTGGTCACCAAGGGCAGTGTCCAGCTCGGCCTGTGTTAGTCCGGGGGGTAAACGCCGAATGAGAAGTTTGAGACGCGGAGCGGGAGGCTTGGGCGTTTTCTTTGCGGGCGCTCCAGAGCCCGACTTTTGCGTAGCTGATGCTGAAATTGGGAGCAGACCGGCTGTGGCCTTGCCGGGCTGCATCATGGTGAGCCTTTTAGATATCAAGGACTGAGGTTATATTTCTCTTTCCCAAGACGAAATCATGGAAATCCCAAAGGATGTTAAACAAGGGAGGCAGCCAGCCCACCCGTCCAAGTTGATAATCCACCGGGGCACCTCACCTCCAAGGTTAAAAGTGCTGTGATTGGACATGAAATTTCACCGCCTAGCTGGTCAGTCAGCATCGTCATGAGCACGTGGACAGCACGTGCCTAGGTAGGTGGCACCGTCTGGGCATTGCTGACATCATCATTTAGCAGCTCAATCTCGCACATTCTCTACACATACACCTGTGCACGATTGATTTCGGTGGTTAAGCTCATTTAATTACTCTGTGCGGCCTTGGAAATCTCCTAGCTTGCTATAGCTAATATTTATCTGGGCTATCGACTAGAATGAAGACTCCCGAGGTCGGCGGTTGGGGCTGACTCCCGGGTCATTCCAGTCTTATCGATAATCGATAAGTATCTCCGCTCTCTCGACCTCCCAACCTTCCAAGGTTGGAACTCTTGATGTTCACAATGAGCGACGAGAAGAGCCCCGTACTAGAGAGCCAAGGAGATGCGTCAAATTTGAGGCAGAAAAAAGTCCATCAAATATCCTCCGGTTCCTCCGGCTATTTCTCTGTATCATCGCAGCCATCACCTGGCTCACGCGGTCGTGCTCTCCTTTTACCCCTCTAAGTATCGAGGAACGGGTACAGAAGATCCTATCGCAGACCCCATTGATTGGTATGGAGATTGGAAAGAACAGTTCTGTATGAAAAATTATGACTGATGACTTAAAAACAGACGGTCATGATGACCTTCCAATCTTGGTCCGGGAACACTTCCACAACCGTGTAAATGATCGCAATTTCACTGAGAATTTCGTCAAGGGGAACTTTCCCGGCCACGTTGATATTCCTCGATTAAGACAAGGTAGAGTTGGTGGTACGTTTTGGAGTGTTTTCGTGCCCTGTCCCGAGAATGGCATTGATTTTTCCGACGAGAATTATGCAGCAAGTAGGGGAACCCAGTACGATTACTGTTGCACAGTATACTCACATTGGAATCATAGGCGTGCGCGAGACGATGGAGCAGGTGGATATCATGTCGCGGATTCAGCAAGCCTATCCCAAGGTCTTCTCCATCCCGCCAAATGGTACCACTGCGATGTCTGCTTTCCACGAGGGAAAGCTCATCTCACCCCTTGGTATCGAAGGCTTGCATTCAATCGGAAACTCACTGGCCCATCTCCGGATCTTCTATGAGCTGGGGGTTTCGTATGCAACTCTGACGCATAATTGCCATAATCGGTATGCCGACGCCGCCATCCTCGAACTTCCAGGCGGTGGAATCAAAAAGTCCGATCCTCTCTGGCACGGTGTCAGTGAAGAAGGCCAGAAGCTGGTGTTTGAGATGAACCGCCTTGGAATGATTGTCGATTTAGCGCATGTCAGCACGGAGACAATGCGCGATGTGTTAGGTGCCGGCAAGTCCGAATGGCTGGGGAGTCGTGCCCCAGTGATTTACAGCCATAGCTCAGCCTACGCACTCTGTCCCCACCCGCGCAACGTACCCGATGACATTTTGGAGCTGGTCCGTGAGAAGAACTCCCTGGTTATGGTTAATTTCGCACCAGACTTCATTTCCTGCACGGCTTCTGACCGCGCCGATGGGATCCCAGACGCGGATCCTATCCACGCCACTCTGGAACGGGTCGCCGATCATATAATGTACATTGGTAAACTTGTAGGCTTCGAGCATGTCGGAATGGGTAGTGATTTTGATGGTATTTCGACGGTTCCTCGTGGATTGGAGGATGTGTCTAAGTTCCCGGATCTGGTCAAAGAGCTTTTCAAGCGAGGAATGAGTGACAAAGATGCAAGTAAGGTGGTAGGAGGTAATTTACTGAGGGTATGGAAGAAGGTGGATGAGGTGGCGCTTGAGATGCAAGCCGAGGGTGCACTGCCCGTGGAGGACTAATTTGAAAGCACTTTGAGTCTATATTGTCGATTTCATGATAGTGATGTTGTGTGAATTTGCAACCACAAAGATTCGTCGGAGTGTATGTCAAAGCAAACCAATTCTGCAAGATAGGTCAACTGCATATTGGAAAGTTCGTTTTGAATTTATTGTTTGCTATCGTAGTCATGGCAGATCAAGCCGTTGACACCAGAGTTCATTTACAAGCATGATAGACCTGAATATAATATGTATAAAAGTCTTTTCTCATGCGATAGAGAATCCTGGTCTATATGTGCATGTAGATATAATTTACTTGTATGGCTCTTCTAGATAGTGGACTATATTTACAATACAGCAGGGCGAGGATATTCATCATTCCTGAAGATTTTCATTCACAGTCTGCCTCAACTAATCCTCATACACAATCAATCGACAAGCCTCATCAGAAAACGCATCCAGCCTGATATCTGGCGAACTCAAATTGACACTGGCGCTTCTTGATTCGCATCTCCGAGGCGTATGTACTGAAAATTGACCATTTAGCAACCAAGGTTGATTGCTATTTTCTGGTTAGCTGATTTTGATTAAGGGGAATCAAGCTTGGACACTAACCATTGGCATACAGTGCATACGAGTCAGCATTCAAAACGGCCTTTGCACTAGTGAGGGATGTCGCAGCGGTATACCCGTATCCGTTGTCATCAGTTCCCGGGCTGTATACTCCCGGAGCATGGGTGAGCTCGTGGAGAGTGGTGGTTGCTTGATCTTGGCTGTGGCATGTGCTAGCCAATGCTGGGAGAGCGCTGTAGTAGAGATCACAATTGGCGATCACATTTTGAGATGGCAGAGTGTAAGCCAAGACGTTGGTCTCACAGCTATTTGTATTTGTAAGCCACGTATGCATAACTATAGCATCTTTGCTCAAAGGAGAGAGGTACTGACTATCCCAAGGTATCTGAGCAATAGTACTTGGTGGCAGTCACCGAGCCGGCCTCTTTTGCCACAGCTTTAAGGCGAGCAGCCACGACACTGCGCGTCGCGGTGCTGGTGGTCTTGAAGTACTCTTGAAACCTATAATATGCGATTAAAACGGGCAATCCTTAGTAAATCGGTATATACATACTTGGTGGAAGATCCCGAAAGGGCAGCTGTTGCGGCTGCGTTCGCGAGAGTCACAGTGTTCTTGAGAGCAGTGCTAAGTGCCGACTTCTTGCTGGAGTCACTGCAGGTTTGAAGGGCACGACGATCGAGTGGCTTGATAGCCTTCAGCACACGGGATGCCTTGACACCGTCAACTTCGATCTTGAGATCGTTGGAACGGTATGGCAGATAGCCAGTGACTGCACCATCAGTGACTAGGGGTACCAGACCGCTCGATTGAAGAGTTAATGGGCCCCCGCTAGACAAGTCACTAGTAGCGGCGATGTCAAATTCATCTTCGAAGGTCTCTCCTGCAGCAAGGGAAGTGAGAGACTCCGAGGTGAGACCTTCGAGGACGAATCGGCGTTTGATTCCCTCAAAAGTGACTTCAGCATCTGGTATAAAGTTAGTATTGAACCGATAAAATCTGGATAGATTTGAGATACCGTTCTTGAAGATATTAACTTTCTTTACGGGTGCGCTGTCACGGAAAAAGTTGAGATGCACAAATGTAACATCTTCGCTGCCAGAGTTCTTCACGACAGCCTTGATACGTGTATCAGTGACATGAGTCAAGGTAATATCGAGTGCAGAAGCCCCATCACTTTCAACTGGCAAGGCGTGCACATACTGTGCCAGAGCCAGAAGTGTCGTTGAAAGGGCAGCAAAACGCATGATGCTCGGAGACCAAAAGACCCAAAAAGGTTGATTTTCTCAAAAGGATGGTTGTAATTCTGATATCTTGAATGCTGTTGAAAAAGAAACACAGGGTGGGAAGAAATCAACTGCTTTATAGCCGGCTGGACGGTCGTTGCAGTTTCGAAACGCGGTTTTCTCTCTCTACACCCTCCATCTCTCCCCTGTCGCCCAGAAGGACGGCGGAACAAAGAGGGTGGTATCTTCTCTGCATGAAACAACTCGATCACACCAGCAGTCAACCTTGTATAATACACGGGAGACCTGCGGGCAATCTTATCACTGGTCAAAGATTTCTTGAGACAGCGATATGCCTAGGGGAAGCCTGCGGGCAAACATGTCACTGGTTGGAGATATCATGAGATATCAAAATCTTCAGAACGATCATCATCGACGCCGTCTTGGCCCGACGGAAACCCGTACCTCTGAAGGGCTAGCATTAGTGAGTTTGGATGTCCGAGGTTTCATGAAGCTGCATCTAATCCACATAATTTGAAGAGCGGGGATTGTTCGATGTAACTCCTCACGATCGGCTCTAGATAGAGAAGAGCTCAGCGCTAAGCTCCGCAAGCCTCTGGGTAGACCTTTGTGTATTTGAGGTACGCATAAACCGGCCGAGGTATGGAATTAAGTGTAAAAGTGGATTCTGCGGTAGAACACAAATATATTGGTAGAATCTGGAAACAAAGACATTATATTGTAGGAACATCAATATACCTCATCCATGGGAATAATAAGATATACCGGTAACAACTGATATCTTTGCCCTGTTCTTGACGACGAATCTGCAAAGCCCCCCATTCATATCACGCCAAGCCCTAGACCCTGCGTTTGTCTTCGGACTCCGGGGCCAAGATACCACCCAAGACGGCGTTGAAGACTTGAGTTCATCAACAATGCTTAGTCTCAGCCATTAGGGGTCTTGTCCGATATAGCCTTAACGTTGGTATAGGCTTGGTTATTGTGATTCGAGGCCCCGAGCAACGTGATGCCAAGTCTACGAGAAAGGAGTGTTGCACGGAGCCCCGGGGGGAATGCGCCAGGGCGCCCTGTTCAGTCGACTTGGCATGCAATTGAAAAACTTGATTGGACTTTGCATGAGAGATCGGCACAATGATCAGCGTTTCCAGATATAAGGCGTGATAACAATCCCTACCCCACACCCTTTCGACCTCGGTGTACTACCGTCAACTTCGTAATTACCCCATTGTCTCTGTTTTTTTCTTTCTTTCTTTCTTTTTTTTTTTCACCCTTTCCCCCTGATCACAAGTCACCTTCTTTGAATGCAAATATGGACTCAAACTTGAGTTTGCGGGTCACCTTGGCCCTCCAGGCACCGACCCTAGAGGCACAAGAACCATTTGCTCTACCAGTCAAGATTTCCGTTCACAACGCAGCAGATTCACCAGTCACCATTTTAAGATGGGGCACTCCGCTGGACCCTCAGGTTGGTGTTCTCGGTGTCTTCGAAATTTGTGACACAACGGACCAACGGCAATTGCCCCTTCCTACTATCATGGTATCACGCAAGCTACCTGCCTCCGAGGATGATCTCGTTGAGATACAAGCACGCCAAACGCTTGATGTAACTCTCAATTTGCCGATGCCAGGTCTTGAAAAGGGGCATGAATATTCTGTTCGTGCACAGGGAACGTGGCATGCGGTGTGGCCAACTGAATTATCTAATGTGACTACATCCCAACTCAGGGATAACGAAGGTGCTATCTGTGGGGACTTCTGCTCTAATGAATCCTCTGTGAGAATTGAGTGAGCTAGGTATTTGTTTCTTGGATACTTGAATTAAAGAATGAGCATGTAATGGACCTCGACGCTGCGTGATTGCTATTGATGCCGAGACTCTCGAACTATTGAATGTGTCATTTTCCGGGAATGAGATATTTTCACTCTCATTCACATGATTTTATGGGAGATAGCAGTTTTGTGTTACATAGTTTGTTAAATGGATTGAATCCGCTGTCTGGTATTAAGGTCAGCTTGTCATGACTAGAATGAAGCCCTGACGCCAAGTTCTTTGTGCACGAATACAACAAGGATGTCTTTCTATAAAGTTCCAAGCCCAAAAGAAGATGCCAGAGCGGTGTTCGAAGTTCTGAAACGAGGTGGTATTGCGATTATTCCAATGAAAGTTGGCTACGGAATCACTGCGATCGATCCGGACGCATTGAACCGAATCTTTTGCACGAAAAGACGAGAATTACATAAGCGACATGCAATGGTTGGCAGTTACTTTCTGCATCGAGATATTCATGTTCTTCCCCCCCGGGAAGCCGGCATGGTCAAACTCTTGACTGTGGACTTGAATCTTCCTCTTGGGATTGTTGCCCCATATCGCCTCGAACATCCAATTATTCAAAAGCTTCCACCGAGTATATTAGCACAGAGCGTTGTTGGAGGCACTCTAGCAATGTTAGTTAATGGGGGGATTTGCTAGAAGAATTGTCTCGACTTGCTACGCTGGAGAAACTTCCTATAATGGGATCATCGGCCAATCTCACCGGCAAGGGAGCAAAGATTATGGTCGAGGACATCGAGCCAGAGATCCTGAAAGTGGCAGATCTAGTTATCGATTATGGGAGACAAGAGTTTGACCATCCTCGAGCCTCTTCTACCATGATCGATTTTAGAACAATGAATGTTGTGCGATACGGGGCTTGTTATGATGTAGTGCAGGATGCTCTCTGGCGATTTTATGGAATCAAAATGCCGGATGATCCTGGAACGTGGACTCTTTCGTCCGAACAAACCTCTGCGAACATTACATAGCATTTCTAGTCAAATTACAGAATTTGATACTCCTAGCTTACTAGCTATTGATAAATCTAGCTAAGATAGCAAAATACGAGATACCAATACTCAAAACATCCTCGAAATATCATAATGCGATAGCTTTGCTTTACACGACCAAAATTTCCCTCTCTTTGCATGTTGCAGGCGAATTTCAGTTTTCACCCTTGATAAACGACATTTGAGAAGCTAAAAGCGATATAAATGTTGCGGAAAGTTGACTCCACTCTCTAAATTGGGGTCAATACAGAAATCCTACTTATATTTTGGTCATCTCCTTGGTGGTCTAATGAGAGCTATTATGAGCGGAATGCAAATATTGCACAGAAAGCACGAGATAAGTTTTACATCAAGCTCATTGTGGTCTATTCAAAAATCACAAGCACCGAAATAATGCAACGTTACTAGATATCTGTTTCATTTTGTTTCTTAAACCCTCACTATTCCATGAGAATATTCTGGAAAGAAACTGGAGAATTTAGCCTTGGCCATTTGTCAGAACTAGATGTAACTGATAGTGACAGTGTCTCCGACGACAGAAGAAGATGTGAGAATCCGATCCTGATATATATCCATGATAGTAGCATTCGATGGCCCGTAAGTATTCCCACCACGCGAAACAACTGCATTGGTGAATACTACAGTGCCAAAGTTGGCAAAAGGAGCCAATGCGTTGTTTATGGAGAAGTCCTCCACAATCCATTCAGCATTGAACTCGCAGAGGTTACTCCCAAGGCCATGGGGGAATATGTGAGTCATAGATACGCCTGTAGATAGATTCTCAACAATCGCAGACCCGGAGTTCCTCGACGTTGCATCGACTGTCGCTTTGATCACATCACCAGCCGAAATTTGGATGTTACTAAAGTCATGGGCATAGTCTGGATACCATTCGTACCACGCGCTGTAGGAAGTAGTGCCTCCTTGAATACAGAAATCGATTCCTGTTTGTAGGATGGCTGTATTGCAAGTATCACCGTCGATGCCAACCCATGCAGAGGCACAGTAATTTGTGTAGGAATTCCCACCACTTGGAAGTTGGGCGATAGGTACTGTGAACTCTCCGGATACCGAAGTGTATCCGATACCAATAAGCACCGCCCCGGCCCAGTTTGAGCTGTAGGTCTCCTGGGATGTTTGGTTCACATAGAGGATTTCTGAGGTGCCTGATTTACAAGGCCTGCTCGTGTGGCGTGTAGCTCGGGCAGATCGCTGTATCTCATCTCCCACATGTCCCCGAGAACTGAGAGGAGAGGCGATGACAGAAGTGGCGAGTAGCACAGCACTAACGAGTGTGGAAGAGAACCTCATAGTGAAAGTTTGATAAAAACAAACTGTTCCAAGTATCAAGAACGAAAAGGGAAATTTGATGCAAGTTGGACGGTGGGTGAATCAAATGCTTCTTACGAAACCCGACGTTTATATAAGTAGGGTTTGTGCCGAATGGTTGTTAAGCTCGGATAGGCCTGAATTGAATCGAAAGACATGAATGATCATAATACGAGATGTAGATGAATGACTCTCAATGTAACATAACATCCATGTGAAATGAAGATAAAAAGCGCAGATGATCGCTGTCGGAGACCGATCACTAGGGTGAATTTCCGAGGTAGCCTCGTGGCCAAAGAAGTGTGCAAGCATCATCTCCCAGTAAACAGTAAAGGTTTCATGATGAAAAAGGTTCCTTGCATATGTATGGATATTACATAGATTCGGACTAATATATACATATATACCGATCTAGGGTAACTACCAGTCTAAATAATCTAATGCTCGCCTTGGCATAGTCCGGCACATGCACTTCGTACGGATAGAAAGAAGCTTTACTACAGACAATGTATTTGAAAATAATAAAATAAGGTTATTTGAGCATCAAAATCTGCCTTGCATTACTTGTGAATGAAACGCCTCTTCCTTGATTTAGCTCCAAATCTGTCCACGAGTCTCTCAAGGCGACAAGCAGAGAAATGGTTGGAGCTGTTGCTTAGGTCTATACGATCCGACCTCTCTCTTTTTATTTCTCTTCCTCCTTTTACTCTCTCTTGAATGCGCGAGTGAGAATAAACTTGGTTCCCTCGAATTTATATCTCTCGATTAACCATGTACTGACACTTCTAAGGGTCTTCCTGAAAAATACTTGCTTGTCTGTCATGCAATGAGATACTAAATGGCAAAATCAAAGGGCGCACAAAGAACGCAGATATGCTTTTCATATTCCCATGCACCATAATGTTGAGGTGACATATGCAATATCTTCAAGCACATATCGAAAGTTTTCAATCTCGTAGTCAGTCTTGTTAGAACGTCTATCTTGCAGTTCTTTAGTCTCTGTCGTCTCCCTAGGAGATGCGTGTATCCTATCCCGTCGGCGGTTTTCCTAAACATAAAAGTTATAGAGGTATACCAAGAAGAAGATCCCGCAGGCGAGTCCTACTATGGACGCTTTGATGCCAGTCTTATCAAGTTAGCACTCAAGGAATAGGAGTGGGTAATGAGAGTGAAGTATTAACTTAATATAAAGGCTATTCCAAAGGATGGAAGAATTGTGGGCCATGTTTTCAATGCAGTATGCGGTGAGCATGAGGGCGCCGACAATACTCTTCTTGGTAAGCCCAGCGACGTTCGAATTAATTAGAATGGGGGATAACGGAATATTGGTAACAAAAACACTACCGAGGCAGAGACAGGTCAACTTTCCCGCCTGATTATCAGAATTCAGCTTCCAAAGCAAAAGCATACCCACCATCGACAGGGCTGTATTAACAATCATCATGATAATGCGAGACTTTAGACCAAGAGGCGAACTCCGAAATAAAGAGAAGAAAGAGAAGCCAAGCACTGCCAATAGGCATCTAAATGAGAAGAGCTTCTAGATGGAGAATCGAAACACGGCGATAATAATGGCAGAAAAACTTGTGATGCCGCCGTTGCAAAAGTTGACACTGAGCATATAAAGCACTAAGGACCACGCTTGCAGGTCTTTGATCGCCGTTAAAGACCTGGCCCCGTTTAGACTTGCCTGTGTTCAAAACTCAAGTTTTCTTTTTCAAACTTGTGTGGACTGCAAGGGCTCATTTTTCTTTTGGTGTGAAAAAAATGGCCTTCGTAGGTGAGTCCGATAGCATGTAGAACAAGCGGACGCCGTAGGCAGAAGTGATAGCGCTCAAGATAAGAAATAACAGGTGCCATTGGCCAAAAGCTGTGGTAGGAATATTGCAATACGGTAAGAGATCAGCCCTCCAAGAAGAAAAATAAAAATAGAATGACCAATAAACCATGCCACCCTAAGTGATGGTAATACATAAGATACGAAAATAGCTGATATGATACCAAAATCTACGATTTTCATGAGTTGTTAAGTTAATATTACTTTGAAAAGCGTCTGCTATACTCTAATAAAAGCGGAGGGATTGGGTTGATAGCGCCATGAACGCGGGCAAATTCAACAGTAGTTAGAGACGACGGCAGTGAGCTCTATATGCAGAAACATGATCCATGTGTCTCTTTTTCTCTTTGTTCCCTTTGTTATGGCAGCCTGCTAACGTTTGCATAGACTTTGTGAGGAGCGAAAGGTTGAGACTACAATATCGGCAGTCTAGCGAATCATATGCCACGTACTCCGTACACGGGTCGGCAATATGTATGTGTGCTTATCCTCATCGGCAACCCACTTTTTCCACAGCCCCCGATAAAAAGTAAAGTTAAAGAGATGAGGAGGGGGAAACACCCATGTTGATGGCTGTGATTTGCCTGTCAAGTTTGTGCTGGAAGAAAAAAACTAGAATATAAAACGAGATACTGAGGATCCTGGGTGCGAGTTTGGCAGTGGAATAAACCCCTAGCTTAGAATGGAACACCTTCACGAAATTTTTACGCAAGATAAGGGCTGGAATTTACTACATCACCATTGTAGCAGTGTAATATTGGATACTACATATATATATATATATATACGCCGGATTAAATTCGTCTGTGGAGAATATCGAGGGAGTTCTACCTGATTGGGTTTCGCCAAGCTCGCCAATATGGCGGATGATAATTTTGTCTTTCCTGTCATATTGCAAGAACTTATCTCTAAGTAGTAACTGGTAGAGTTAGGCATAGCGTTTCTCATTGCCTTCCCCTCTTCCTCTATCATCGGCAAACGTCACGCGGATACTACCTGACCAAACGCCAATCCTTCGTAGTTAAATAAGCACAATTCTTAGGGACTAGGCAAGATGGATTTCAATTTAACCTGGCTAGGATTAAGCAAGACACCTACAACATCATGGCTCTTCCAACTATCAATATCGAGCAAGTGAAAACTTTTGTAGATACCGCAATTGAGGGACTACAACAGGAGTTGCGGGAATTGAACAATCAAGTATGTTTATCCTCCTAGTCGGATTTTTACCTGCAAGGCTAATATTTTGATGATGATGATGATGATGATCAGATCTGGTCGAACCCTGAGCTTGCTTACCAGGAGCACCATGCCCACGATACGATTTGTGATTTTCTCGAGGGACAAGGTTTCACCGTTACTCGCCACGCCTATGGACTTGATACTTCTTTTGAGGCTTTGAGTGGAACTGGGGGGCGATTGATCAATTTTAACGCAGAATATGACGCATTGCCTGGAATGGGTCATGCCTGTGGTCACAACCTGATAGCGACCAGCAGTGTCGCTGCCTTTCTCGCACTGTCGTTTGCCTTGAGTAAATTTAACATATCTGGCAGAGCTCAGCTGTTAGGTACTCCGGCCGAGGAAAATGGGGGTGGAAAGGCCAAACTGATTGATGCTGGCGCTTATAGAAATGTCGAAATTTCCCTAATGGCGTAAGATCTCGCATCCTCGGATATGAAACGAGATGAAATCTCGCTGACTTGATTTGAAGTCATCCTGGACCCAAACCGCTTTATCTGGACGGGGAGCAAACCGATGGTGTAGCTGGAATACTTATGAATGCACGCAAGAATATTCACTGTGAGTCACCCAATCAATTATCTTATTCAATGCTGACGAACACAATTCAATAAGGTGAATTCACGGGTAGGAATGCTCACGCCGGCGGAAACCCCTGGGAAGGGATCAATGCGCTTGACGCTCTAGTCTCATCTTACAATAATGTTGCGGTCCTTCGACAGCAGCTTCTTCCAGATCAGCGTGTTCATTGTGCTTTCTTGGACACACCCAAGGTAGCTAACGTGATCCCAGATTATACAAAAGCTTTCTGGCAGGTGCGCAGCCCTACTTTGAAGGGATTGAATACCCTTGTCGGTAAAGTACGCAATTGCATTGAAGCTGGTGCTCTGGCAACTGGGTGTCAAGTCAAGATTGATGAGTATGCATCCATTTATGGTCACCTATCCACTCACTTAGATAGTTGCTAATGCGTTTGCTTGGAGGGATGAACTGTATACCGATATCCGATTGAATGACACTCTCTGTGAACGCTACCATATTCATATGGGACGGTATGATCGCAATGTTCTCAAGCGCCATAACAAGGTCCTAACAGGATCATCGGACATTGGTATGTGGTCAGGTATTATTCCTCTTGATTCAAAATACTAACCCCTGTATTTCAATAATAGGCAATGTTAGCTACGAGACCCCCACACTTCATACAATGTTCGGGATTCCTTCCCCTCCATCTTCATTCCCACATCACCCGACGTTTGCAGCAGCAGCGGGAACAGATGAAGCTCATACTGAGGCATTGATTGTTGGAAAGTCTTTGGCATTGATCGGGTGGGATATGATTACGGAGAACGATATGTATGATGTGGCTCGGCGTCAATGGACAGATGAGATTGCACGTGAGGAGTAGATGTATGTTGGGTGGATGGGTAATATCATCTAGTACTTCCCAAGGTCATCAGACTGTATAGGAAATCCATTCATTCGGTCCATAAAGGCAAATTGAGCTGTTCAAGCTGGTGCATTCCTGAATAAGTTGAAGTCTTCGAAAGTTGACATACCGAAAAGCCACGCAACGTCAATTCCAAATGTGGGAGCGCACCCGATAGCGCATCCGAAAGAGGGAAATCGTTGGGTGCACGTCATGATGACTCATCCTTCCCCGCGGTACCTACCTACCTAGGTAGGTAGGTACCCGCACTATCTTATCGGGCTCGGCACTACCTGTGGACACTTAGGTAGGTAACTATTCCGACAACTTTCGTATTAATTCTTTCAATTCGCTCTCTCCGATCTTTTCGCTCATGCCCACAAGTTTGACCCCTGGTGTATCCATGCAGGGTTTCGGCCGCAACGGTCCACGTTCCAAGAGTGGTAGGTCATTTCTCTTATGTTGTACTTTGCCACATGGCCGACTAACCGTGGGCACTTCGGGTAGGTTGTACTACCTGCCGCCGCCGAAAAGTCAAGTGCGGTGAAGAGAAGCCATCTTGTGCAAGATGTTCATCCCTGCGCCTCAATTGCGAATGGGGGGTCCCAATTAAGCGTGGGCAAAGCACGCAAATTCGACACCTCGAACCTGCACCGGTGACCTCCGAACAACCCTCTTGCCCGATGCCCAAGGCTGAGGACATTGTCGCGATCCGACCAGATGCCCGTTTCACAAGTCTCTCGCCAGCATCTTGGGGATCCGAAGTCCTTCCTTTTAACGCATTCAGCCCGTCGCGAATTCCGACCCCCATATACCCTTCCTTGAACGTCAATGTCGCGTGCGCCAATTCATTGACACTCACCTCTCTTGACCGACAGTACTTCCAATACTTCCCTTATTCCTCGCTTGTGTTTTACTACATGAAAGGATGGAAGTGGAGCGGCCTCTGGTGAGATTTTCATGCATGTGAGAAATGGGGTACCATGAGTTCACCCGGCTAATGAAATAGCCATCTTTACGAAGGTCCAGCTACATCTAATAGGGTCATAATGCGGATGATCTTGGCACTGAGTGCATCCGATATGCATCGCAATAGGTTAATTGCACGCTCCCAGGATCATGGTCGCTACCATTACAGCCAAGCAGTCAAAGAATTCAGGCAACTGCTTGAGACACCCCGCCAAGTTTCATTACATGATATCGAGATTGTTTTTGCGACGGTGTTTTTGATGATATCTTGGGAGTCGCAGTTTGGACACTCAGTGCGCCATGTAAGAATGAATGGTTTTGTATTCCGACTCTACACCGAATTAATGGATTTCCAGCTTCAACTCCACCTCCAGGGTGTGCGCTCGCTTCTAGAAACACACCCGCAACTATTCCGCATGAAAAGCGTGAATGACATGTTCTTGTCTCCCGGAGTTAGTACATTGGCCAATGATACTGTGACTATGGCCAAGGTCTCCTTCATTCCTGAGCAGCTTTTATTGTGGATTCTGTGAGATCTTTGCTAGCTGTTGTAATAACGACTACCACTGACGAAAATACAGATATATCGATGCTAGCTGCCGTCCCAGAGGTCTTACAGAGTCACTTAACGACTATGTCGCCCAGTCTCAGAATCCCGCTCTACATCCAGAGCATCTGTATCGCTGCGCTCGCCTCTGGGGCCGATGCTTTTGGGGCGAGCAGTATCCGGACGAAGAGGTTCTGGATGACAATGAAAACTATAGAGCTCTAGAGCTATTGCATGCTGGGTTTTGTCTACGCCATCAGACTTGGAAGGTCCTCGTGGAATCCGCGATTGGTACCGACGGCTCCGGAGAAGCTCTGTTCTGTGAGATCCTCGCTATCCGAGAAGTCAGTACAGGGTACATCCCCAGATTTCGAGAGACTTACTGATTGTGATCAGAAATTCTCCGACCTTTTTATCACCTCTAGATTTGCCGGTAGTGTCTCCGCTCGACGTACGCTCAATACTATATACATGGCCGTTGCTACCTTCTACGCCCAGGTCATTCTCCATCGCCGTCTCCTCTGTGTCGATTCTGTACCTCTGGGCATCCACCAACAAGCTACAGCAGGAATCATTGACATTGCCCAAAAGCAATTTTTGTCTGATCCGAAGCTCCTTGGGCGTTTACACTTGCCGCTGCTTATGGCAGCGATTGAAACCAATGATATGACACAGCAAACATGGCTCCGCCAGCGCCTATGGGAACTGCGCGATTTTCACTCCGAGTCTGCTTGGGCGCATGATGTGGCCGAGCAGATCCTGGCCCAGCAAGTCGTGAGCCAGGGACAATTTGTCAATTTGGCCGAATTTTTACTAAAGCGTTTTCATACGCAGTGAACTCTAAGCTTCAGGACTACTCACATCTAGGCCAACACTAATATCTGATGTCTTACGTCACTATGCATAGATGTCGATTCACATCCAGCGGCTTTGCATAGTTTCCCTTCGTCATAGGTCACATCCCTCGGCTTTCCAGCCAATAGAAGAAGTAAGGAGTGCTTTTCAGCTATGAACTTGTTTCCGAAGCTACTCGAAGTGATAAAACAGAAGAAACATCATTCAAACCCCTTGCAAATCCCCATTTATTCTGCCCCAAACAGTTCCTATCATAATTTTCTATCAACTATGTTAGATTTTTGACAACTAGAATCAACCCCCCTTAAATTATATGTCATAGCTGTTGTATCCTTCCTCCACACATGTGGTGAAGAACCTACGTTTGGCGTTTTAGGAATCCAGCAAAGAACTTGCCGATTTCAAGATAATCACCTGGACCAATAATAGCAGACACGTCTAGTGATCCGAAATTGTCAGTTATAAGTAGTCTCACAATCAAGTATTTGCTTACATTGATCTGGCCGAACAATAATAAGAGCACCTTGTGCCGGGTCAATGCCAAGATATTTGTATGCATGGCCATGGCCGTCATTATAACTCTCGTCGTCGTAATAAATTTTGTGTAGGTCTAGATATTATAGGTTAGAGACGGTGAAAAATTGGAAACCAGAATATCTGCACCTCTTGTTTGGGATTTACCAGAGACTGGATAAAAGCACTCGGGAATCTGTTCCAACTCAACATCCTGACGCTTTCCATGCCCGATCAAAATGGTCTCGATGAGGCTGTCAAGATGTTGATCCTTGGGAGTGAATGTGTGGATGGGACCATCGGCCGCGCTCAAGTATTCTCCTAGCTATGCGATTCATTAGATAATGCCTATAAATAGTTTTATAGTGACAAACAGACCATGCTGAGCTTTGATTGGTTTTCTGGCACAGCCAGGTCACCAAGAAAGGCCATGATACGCCACCGGCCATCGGACTTGAGAGACTTCATGAGGTGTAAAGGCTTAGAGTCACAGAATCGCACGACCTGTGCGCTGGGTAGCCGCATACCAACGGTCACGTTAGAGACGAGCGTAGTCGATTCCAATGCGGAGGTGATAGATGAGACCTCATATTTGGCTGTTAGACCTGCGGTGTATTTGCCAGATTTAATGAAGCCTTCTTGGAATTCGGCAGGAGAGGTTGAGGCCCCAGAAGAAAACAACTTGGAGAAATAACGGTCAAATTTAATGAGATCAATAGCCACCTTTTGACGTTCTAGGACATAAGTCTCCAGAAGTGAGGAACTGGCCAGACCAGTCAAAATGTGGCCCAGCTTCCAGCCAATGTTGTAGCCATCTTGTAAACTAACATTCATACCCTGGCCAGCTTTTGGGGAGTGGGTGTGGCAGGCGTCACCAGCGAGGAACACCCGGTTGTCCTTGTGGAAGAAATCGGCATGACGCTGGCCGATCGCATACGCCGACCACCAGACTGTCTCCACAAACTCTACCTTGTAAGGGTGGAAGATACTTTGTGCCTGTGCCTGCAAATTCTCCGGAGTCACCTCTTTCGGGTTGGTTCCCGGGGTAAGTTCAATATAGAACCTTGTCAGATTGTCGCTATCGCCTTCACGGGGAATAATCAAGACATTCCCTGATTTTGAGCGAATAGTTGACTTCTTGCGAATGTCCGGGAAATTGGTTCGGGGTACTATGTCCATGACACCCCAGACGGCATCGCTGCTGTCTCCAATCATTTTATACCCGAGCGCTTTGCGGACAATGCTGTGTGCCCCATCACAAGCCTGATAGTCGAGTCAGAAATCATATTAACCTCAAAAGGCAACGAGCACCTACCAGTGCATATTTGGCTGCAAAAACTTCTGTCTTTCCATCCTTTTCCGCAGTGACTTTGACTGGATAGGCTTCATGATCCTCGACAGAGGCGCTATCAAGTTTGACATCGGTTACATTGTAGCCATAGTCGATTCGTTGGTCATTATATTTCCGCATTAACTCTATCAAGAGCCCGTTGATACGTGCCTGGTTCAAAATAACGTGAGGTTGGTGTGATAGACCTGGTTGGGTATCCGCCGTCCGCCCTGTCCGCCTGATGGTGCCTGTACCATTGTCGGCCCAGAAGTTTACCTCTAGAACATGATAGGCCTCACGAAGAAGTTCTTCTCCAATCCCAAAGCTTTCAAAGATCTCCACAGTGCGACATTGCACGCCGTCAGCTTGTCCCATCTTCATAGGACCACCCCGCCGTTCGAGTACCTTGCACCGCACCCCATACTTAGCGAGCCATGTGGCAGCACAAAGACCGGCAGACCCGCTGCCGCAAATGAGAACATCGACTTTCTCCATTGCTCAAATTGGTATATCGGTTTAGTTCGTGCTTAGTTAGTATATCCGAGACCTTATATGGTGAACCTGGAATGAGATCCGTGATGAGATCCGGGATGGGATCCGGGGGTCGGGATTCGTTCCGGTGGGGGATCGCCAGACAGAGAAAAGAGGAAAGCCTTGGCCAATCTGTTGAATCTCTCTCACTGCCTATTACCGACCCCATATTTAATTTACTTGTTGCTTCCAATTGGGGTTGTTCGGCTCTTTGAGAAATATCAAGTCGAATATCGGCTCTCTCTACTCAAATCTGGAGTATCTGGTTTCAATGCTCCCTTTTGATTTCTCATGTCCAAACACAAGGCGTATGCATCATTAATTCTGGTCTAAATCATTATATAATGCTCATCCTTCCGCCCAAATACTAAACCGAACGCCAGCGCCGGTGTAGAACTCGCATCAAATCTTACAAGAAGTACTCGCTGCGCCCAGGCCGTGAAGTTGGAACATGCCGCTGATCATCGCTAACTGCACTGAACAGTTTGAATGTGGGTTTGAGATCCTCTCCGATCTCACAGACCGAGGCCAGATTTCCACATCGGTAGCAGTAATTTGGCGCGCTCCAAACGGTGACGACGTTTTGGTTGTTGAAATGGTATTTATAGCCCTCGTTGACCAGTTGATGAGCGCGTGCGATCAATGAGAGATCATTGACATGGCAGAACTCATCAGCCACCCTGTCTCCGAATAACCATCCTATAAATTGTCAGCTTGAAAGAAAAGAAAAGCGGGAAAAAAAGTTCTCACCTGCTCCTCGAGGACTGACAGCCCACGTCTCCACGTCATCCGGGTCAGACCACACAAGGTCACAGAAGGCACCCTCGTGGGGAATCTCCTGCGCGCGGGCTACCACACGGACTTGGTCCAACGTGCGAATCTCAGGGCTCAGACCACCGTGAACACATAGCACCTTGCCATCAATAATGGCCCCCAATGTCATGAAATCGAAAACTTGGCAGCATGCCTTCCATACCGAAGCACTGCCGTATTTTTGGAAGCATTCTTCGTAGAAACCATATACCTGGGTAATCTGGCGCGACTCATGATTACCACGAACCAGTGTGACTCGATCGGGGTATCTATTTGGAGTCAGCAGTGAAAACTTGTCATCATACGAGGAGCTCTCACTTTGCTTTGAGACAGAGTAAAAGTGTTAACGTCTCTAGACTGAAGTATCCACGGTCCACGTAATCACCCAGGAATACAAAGTTGCGGTTAATCTGGAGATCTTCGGGTGTACCGCTCGCCGATCGGCTTCGTGCACTTGTATCTTCATCATTGGAGTTCACGTTGGGGCCACGGAGCTTCTTGCGAATTTTGGGGTCTGAGATGCTTGAGGGGGGTTCGATATCGGCGGAGGTAATCACGGAGGGAGAGGTCTTCGGGGGGTCCAGTTCTGTGCCATCAGGCATACCTCCAGAAACTCGAAAGAGCTCTAAGAGATCGTAGAATTGACCGTGAATGTCACCACAGACTGTGACAGGTGTCGATACTGGTTGGATATTTGATTCTGCAAACAGAGTCAGAATATATCAACCGAGTCGAGATAGACCACACTTGCCCTCCATCATGTATTCCTTGACAATCTCACATAGCTGCTTCATATGTGGCTCCGATAGATACTTGCAATCCTTCGCTGCCTCCAGCCACTGGTCAGGGCCCGCATTACGCTTAAGTTTGGCAGGACCCGGTTGAGGAATTTTGCTCTCAGGCATGATAAAAAGAAAAGAATCGAAGAGAAATGGCGAAAGAGAGTGAAGAACAAGAAGTAGAGAAATGCATGTGAAGGAGGAAGTGCAGTTGGTGTTTCCCCCGCAAAGCTGAATTTCACCCTTGGCCGCCTTCGTCTGCCGAAATGTTCGACTATTCGCCCTTTTTTTTCTTCTTCTTTTTTCTTTACAATGTACTCAACGATATGGTATGATACAGTTCATGTTCATCTTGTCTTGTTTAGTACGTGGGCCTGACTAAGAATATTCAGTTGGTCTAGTATTTCGAAACACGCCCCGTCGCTGTCCACCTAGTATACTCACGACCGACCTTTGCATACGATATTTGTTCCTCGAGTTATATTCGGACTCGTTAACGCGCTTTGTACAATGTGAACATTGCTAGATCCGAAGCCGCGATTGGATCCACGGAATAACACACCAATAACACGATTAAAGGGAAGATACGCTTATGTCTCACTGGGGTGAATGTTCAGTAAAAAGGTGCGATATACAGGGGAACAAAATCTATCTACATATAACCCATAGAAATGCAATCAACCATCAATTTTACTAAGAAACTCGGTCACAACCTCCGCGAATGCCACAGGCTGCTCCACCATGGGGAGATGGCCGGCACGGTCGATGATCTTAAGATCGGCACCACCACGTAGATCTGCGGCCATCTTCTGCATTGTCTGGGGCAGGACACCGTCATTGGCTCCAGCGACGAACAGGCCTGGCACAGTGGCAGCTGCCATGCGCTCACGGATATCATAAGCACAGAGGGCATGCACACTATGAGCAAATCCCTTCAAGCTGTTGGTGCGTACAGCCTCCTTGACGGGTGCAAGGACCTCGGGCTGAGTCTCGTATGATTCCGGCACGAACCAGCGACGGGTGGTGACCTCGGCCAACTCTTCACCAACAATGGGCTCCTTGGTGTCTGGATCGGTAGAGCCTTCCTTCTCGCAGATGGCGACACGGTCGCTCCATGCCTTTCGGTTGGATTCGGGGGCAGAAGAGTTGGTGTCGCATGCGATGAAAGCTGCAACGCGCTCCGGGTAAAGGAGAGAAGTGTTCAAAACGGTCACACCACCCAGGCTGACACCGATCAAACGAGCGGCCTTGGGAGGCACACGCAGAGCCTCCAGCAACGTAGCCAAATCGAAGGCCAGTAAATCGATGTTGACAGGCTGCTCACCACTCTGCGAGCGTCGGCCTCTTGTCAAATAGCGTACGACACGGTAGCGTTGGTTCCGTTTATGAGCAAAGAAGGCGTCAACGAATCGATCCCAGATGTTCCAGTTGACTAAAATGGAGTTGCTCAGTACGATGACAGGCGCGTAGGGGTCGGTGCTACCCTCCAGCCGGTAAGGGATTTCAACGCCGTCAGAAGTAGTGACGAATGACTCGACAGCTGGGCGGGTGGTTGATGGAAATGTGCGAGTGCGGCCATCATTGGAGTTCCAGGATCCAATGACATCCGGGGCAGCCAGCGAAGTGAGCTCACGGGGAGCAGGGCCAAAGGTATAGTACCACTCATATACGCGACGCTTCTTAGAGGTGACCACTTCGCTCATAAGACGCGATCCCCATGGGGTATTCATGGCGGCCTTGTGGGCATCGCCTCCAAGACCATTCACGGGAGCATACTCGTACAGAGTCAGCGATTCGCGCGGGGCCGCGGAATCGATTGCCGCAGTGACAAAACGGCGACTCCGGCGCCATCCAGGCACACGGGAAAGCATCTCAAAATGTTCCTCGCGGTACCATTTTTCCAGGTCAGCTTGTTTGGTGGGGTCGGGTTGAGTGGCGACCCGGACAGCGACGAGAACGCTACCCCGGGTCTCGGTATCTGTATCGGCTTGATCTTCTAGTGGGCGGAAGTTGGGAGCACTGCGCTCCTCCACTAGATCGTACAGTAGACGACCGACGTCGATTTGGGCCATCGTTTTTTTTTCGCGATCAGTCTTGATCAGGTCGGTTCTTAGATCCAAGTAGGTCTCGCGGGTCAACTCATCCATGTCGGTAATATCGTACAAAGCCACATATTCAGGCTTTTCTCCATCTGTGGCACGAAAACGAAAGCCATTAGTGACAAAGGGCAATCGCAGACGAAGAGGTCCATGTTCAGTGTTGTACCAGTCGTGGAATTGGGTGTCCGGCAGCGAGCCCTTGGGCTGCATTGTCACATAGAGAAGACCGGGAGTAGGCATTATGAAAAGCTTGTAAGAGAGACAATGCACTCAATAAACAACTCAGAGTGAGGATTCAAACCATCTCAAATATGCCCAAGATATAAAGAATAAATCGGCACTCCAAGGATTGCCCCTCATCCGGGTGAAGGTAAAACCCGAACTTGACTGCCGATATTTTCCTTTCTGGCTTTTATTCCTTTTTAATCATCTCCCGCATAACTTCATCTTATGTTATACATACTGTATAACTAACCTTGAATTTGCTCTACATTTTCAATTTACTCTAAATTATTCTTTCAATCATACCAAATGGCATTCATACCAAATCCTTGCTCGGGGATATCCACACGCGCAACGCGTGCCAGCTTCTCGTCGCGCCAGCGATACATCTCAACAAATCCGAGCTGGTCATCGCATAGCGCGAGCCACTCGTCACTGAAGTCACAGGGGCTGACAGCGTTAGAGTGACCACCACTGGTCGAGGTGGGGTTGATAAAGAGCTGGCGCTCGATCTCGCCATGAGAGCCGAGCTTGAATGCGGTGATATAGCCGGTCACGTCGAAATGGTTTGACCGAGTAGTGGCGAAGAGATATTCTCCACCCTTGGTGCAAAAAGTGACATCTCCGCGGTACTTGTTGCGTGGGGGAAGGCCTAATGAGAGGTCAGTTGTTCGTTGCCATGAATATCGGTCGCATTTGCCTAGGAGTCGTGGCACTCACCGGAAGGCAGTAATGGGTACGTAATGTGAGTAAATACTGGTTTGTGGGTGCGCTCGTCGATCAGGTAGACTGCCAGTCGATTCCCCGCCTCCATCAGCACGTACAAATACTTGCCGCTTGGGTGCATTTCAACCCAGCGCGGGTGGTCACCAGCATCAGGAGCCTCGAGGCAATCCACCAGTGCCAATTCGCCCGTCTTGGGATCCTTGATGTGCGTCCAAATCTTGTTGGCCGTCAGGTCGGCAGAGTACAGGTATGTCTCTGTGGGGTCGAATACCATGCCGTGGATACCAGTGTTGTCAACATATTCGTAGTTTTGAATGTTGCTATCCAAAGCTCCGTCGGGCTTCACAGAAAACACGTTGCCGTAACCGGCGTGATTGTAGAATGGATTGCCGTAAACATTGTAGGGGGGCTTTTGGGCGGCAAGCACAAAGATAGCACGAGTATTGGTTTCGCTGCTGGGAGCCAGAGCTAGCGCAAAAGAGTTAGCGGTGGAGAATTGGAATCGAATCCTTGGACATACGATGACCAGAAAGTGGGTGCGACACTTGGTGAACGATCTCTGTCGGGCTATTGACGGCGAAACTGTTCCATTTCTTCATAGCCGCGCCATATATCGCTTTTTTATCGTGAGAAAAGGTCATCCATGAGATGGGCTCAGCTTCTGGAATCTCGGTCTTTTTGACCAACTCCAGCGTGAGAGCATCATCATCGAACTGTACGGTGTAGATGCGCCCGGGGGCGGTCCAGGTACCGATCATCAAATGATGCTTCATGTTGATGATTGAGGAGTGGGAAAATGACCGAGATATTGAGGCAGAAACCCGTGAAAAAACAGATCGGATCATGTACAAGTCGGGAACTCGAATACATATTATTGAAAGTTATCATGCGGGGAGGATATCGGCATCGAGGGCGGCACCCCGCGGGAATGTGTTTTACTCCAATGCCGGTATTGGGATCACGACCTTTTTTTGTTGTTTTTATTCAAATTTGATTTCAGGTGAATATGAATATAATTTGAAATGCCTACTCACTTCTGTAGAAGGTTTTACCAATTTTCAAAGCTCTTGAGTGCTTCATACCGTAATCCGGGGTACCAACCTTCCATACAACCATAGAAGTATATATTTGTAGGCATTAACTTCGTAAACTGCCAGAGGTTCTTTGAAAAAGCAGTTTACAGAATTTGAGCTAGTTGTAGCTAAAACCTCGAAAACCACCAGAGAATTTTTTGCATAGTCTATTAATTGTTATCATATGATACCAGTGGTTTAGCTTCCAAGGTTGTCTCTTCTATACAAGATTGGAGTATCCCTCGAAGATGCCGGAGAAACACTCCTCCACGTGAGCGGGTAAGATATTTCCCACCATCCCTCGGCATCAACGAGATATCCTCCCCACTCCGCACCCCACCCTGTTGGACTACTAACGTGCCGTTGAGAAATATAATACTTTGACTCCGATGCTATCTGTTTCAGCGTAGGCTTACCACCCTCAAATATACACGCAAATCAATCGGCATCAAGCATACACGAACCATGCGTCTGCCCTACGCCCCTTCCACCCCGCCTGTGGATGCACCCCCGGACACCGCCGACATCTATGCCCGCATCGCGGAGCGCAGAAATCCCCGTCCTTTAATCCCGCTTGACCTGTCCCTCCTCCATAGTCCACCTGTCGCGGATGGCTGGAACAGCTTCATCGGAGCTATCCGGTCGCGCACTGTGGTCGACGCTGGTATCATGGAGTTGGCAGTCTGCCGTGTCGCCGTACTCAATAACGCTATCTACGAATGGAATGCCCACGCTCCATTAGCTCTGAAAGGTGGCATTGAGCCAGATCAATTGCAGGCTGCTCTTACATTACCTTGCACTGCTGAGGGGGATGTTGCTGAGCTTGAGAGCAGCACACTCACTCCGCAACAGCGCGCCGTTCTACGCTATACCGACCAGATGACTCGCACTATCAAAGTTCAAGATACCGTTTTTGCTGAATTGAAGAGGGTCGGGTACGATGACCGCGAGATCGTGGAGCTCACCACTACCATCGCCGGTTATAACTGTGTGAGTCGGTTTTTAGTTGCGCTGGACGTTGGCGAGAATAACGCTCGCGAGATGAAGAGTGTGGATGAGTTGGTCGCTACGATGCAATAGCAAGTGATATCATAAGGGAGATAATACAGAATTTGCTGTGAAGAATAGAACAGTTGTCAAACACTTTGGGGGCAACTACAAAACTACCACATTGTTAGAGCCATCCAGATTTGAAAATATGTAAATAGTAGGATATTTAGATAATAGATAAATGATGGAAAATAATTCGATTTCATTAGCAATAAGATATAAGTTACCACTGGTATATCCTCTCTTGCTCGCCTATAGGCATTGCGAGTAGTAGTCACTCTGTTTCTGGCATGTGTACGGGCTGACACAGGTGGTTGGACCGGTCCAGTTGAATCCACCACACTGCGCATAGTGAGCAGCGCCAGTGGTCGCTCCAGTCGTCGTCGTCGTCGTCGTCGTAGTGGTGGTGGTCTTAGTAGTAGCTGTGGAAGTGGGGGTGACTGCGGTGGTCGTTACACCTGGGCCACTCGAGCCAGGGAAGTAATTCTCCAAGAGACTCATGTAGTAAGTATAGCCTGTGCCGGAAGGAGGCTCGAAGCTGTACATGTAGTCTCCCCACCATGGTCCAGCGGACCACCAGGACGCACCAAGCCAGACATCGTTGTTCGCTTGCAAGTAATCAAGCATACCTGTCACTGCACTTTTGCAGACAGAGTTGGGGCCCCCAGCAAATTCACCCAAGAAGGCCTTCTTGCCATTGTCCTTGAGCCACTGTGTGGCAGAAACAACTCGTTCTTGGCCGATGGTTGAGCTAACGCAGGTCTCTGATGTCCCGGAACCATCAGAGTCGAGATACTGGTGCATCTCATAAATAATCAAGTCTTGTGGATCTTTCAAGGCCTTCATATTATCATTGACAGTTGTCCATGTCCATGCGCCGCTCCACGAGTTGCCCTCCACGAAAATGTACTGCGATGTGGCTCCTGCAGCTCGAATAGCGTTGATAGCAGCTTGGTTCAGGTCCAACACCAGGGTTTGGTCTTCCGAGTTGAACTCATTGTCTACAAAGTCAGCGCACAGCCTGGATTGAGAAATCATGTATCTCACTTGTGTCGAATATGACCTTGTCATTCGACGCGAATTCCGATGCGAGCGTCGTCCAAAATGCTGCGAAGTCACTAGTAGAGGTGATGATGTTGCCATAACTATGTAGATATGGTCAGGTAGATACTCCGCGCAAGGTAATCCAAGAACTCACTATCGTCCAAAATTGTGAGGATCAATAACAGCATATCCACCACTAGATGTGATATAGTTGACGGTCTGTTGTAAGATTGGAATCAGTTCTTTCACAGATGGCTACAGGTTATACATACACTTTTCAATGAAGCTAGGTAGGTTGGATCCGCACTCGACGTTAGAGTTCCTGGAACCAGCCGCTCCATTGCGAAGGGAACGCGGAATATATTCATCCCTGCACTCCGTAGAGTTTGAATGGCTGAGGTCGATGGCCAGATATAGTCGGTGCCCAGTACTCCAGGAATGTTCCCACTCCCAAACTCTGCGCCAGCTTCATTTGCGCCGAACCCTATCCACGACCTGGTCAGATGTATAGTTTGCACCACGATTGTTACACTTCATACAAACGAAGGAAGATGCCCTTTTAGGTAGGGAAGGACCTGGTGCTGCCAGAACCAGGCCTGTAATGCCAGCTAGGGTAAAAAAAGAGGTATACCGCATTTTGGTAAGGTTATTGAAGAAAGCTCTTTAGGGTGCTATAGAATATAAATGTATCTGGAATCGGAATGGGATTTATATCAATTTACAATGGATAATGGACAATAACGGCAAGGACTAAATTCCCTGATCATGAATGGCTTTACCCCTAGAACTGAAAACACGAAGCTTTGATCTGACGTGGAAGAAAACAATTTAGACCGGAGAGATTTACGGGAATCATCTTCAAGTTCTCGATTCGGTCTTTTTACGGACCGCCACCCGAGTTAGAATCAGTCTGAAGAATGAATCATCATGTGAGAGGAAGATATTCCAGATTAGGCACGGCATCACAAACTCTTGCAATTTTGGTGGCTGGAATCTCGGAGATGAGGTTACGTGGGAGGGCGCCATTGGAGCCGTAAAACCCGAAGAACGACGCGCAACAGTATATGTGATAAATTGACATAATTCTACATTACCAGCAGAAAATGTCTACTGCCAAGAGCCCGACGCTTGTCAGACTGCCTAAGCTCGTTTTAGGTGATCCATTCGATCCACCGGACTTGGATCTCCAACAGGGAACCGAGGTAATTTTGACCGGGTTGATGCTGACCGGGATAATACTGGCCGGGATAATATTGACCAGGGTATACATAGATCTTATTCTATCCAACGAATAGAATAACACTACTCGGCCGCTCGTCCGGGCTATCTACCGGAACTTGTGTACCAAGGGTTGTGCATTGATAGAAACCGGACACTAAATAGGAGATGATCAACAATATTAAGAGGAGTTCGCATCAAATCTCCGAGGATCACAAGGCTTGACTAATTGCTAATTTGCGATGTCGATTCAAAGTTGTATATAGACGTATCTGTGTTCTTCCCCAGACCTCAGGAGAATCATAGTAGTCGCCTGCAGCCCCCGCAAATGCAATTTCCCCAAGAAGTCACCCGATTAGTACTAGCCTTTACAAGAAATCAGCACCCAGCGTATATAATTTTAGTACCATGTGGTCCAAAGCAAGAGGAAGCGCCTAACTCACAGGCAAAATCAACGTGGCTTGACTAGTCGGAGCATCCTCCGGTTTCTGCATGGCTTCTTCAAGACGAACAAGGTAACGCCACATGCATCAGCTGGGGATATTGGATATGCCGTGCAGGAGTTGTCCGCTTAAATGGGGTGGACACTAGTGCTGACTCCGACAGGGGCCACCCCAACGGGCATCGGTTATTTAAGGGAGCCGGATAAATCATCCTTATTACTGATCCCCAGTAGAAGTTCAATTTGGCGACGGAATTTAGTTTGAAGCCGAGATTGATTATCGGAAGTACCTAAGCGCCCCAGGGATATTCCAAGGTTGTACAGACGAAAGAGAGAACATGTTGGAACAAATTCTAGATCGGATTTCAATTCACAGCAAAATCAAACTCTTAAATTCAAAAATAATATCAAAAACAATCAGAAAGAGAGAACATGACAAATTGATCCAATCATTCCATCTCCCTCCCATTCTCCCATTTTCCGCCACTCAAATCTCAGATTCGCCTATCGTCTACAAGCACTGTGAGTAATAATCACTCTGCTTCTGGCAGGTGTACGGGCTGACACAGGTGGTTGGGCCGGTCCAGTTAACTCCACCACACTGCGCATAGTGAGCAGCGCCGGTGGTTGCTCCAGTCGTAGTAGTAGCGGTGGTGGTGGTTGTCTTACTAGTGGTAGTGGAGGTAGTTCTGGTTGTCGCCGTGGTGGTGCTGGAGCTGGAGCCTGGGTTGGTCGAGCTGAAAGTCGAGCCGAGAGGACCGACCTTGATGTTGGAGTAGACAACATAAGCGTTCGCGTGGTTAGCTTCAACATCGACAGGGTCGCCAGAGGAAATGTCGCAGCTACCGCGAGCAGCACCGGGAGTAGTCGAAGAGGCGGAGGTTGGGTAAGTGCTGTCAAGCCACAGCATGTTTGCTGAGTGGTCATCCCAGAGACTCATGACCAGAACCATGCCTTCCGCAAGACCAGCCCCCATACCGGCCATACCGCCATGCTGAGTAAATACGTCCGTGTCCTTGAATGCGGACTTCTGAGCAGAGCAGAAGGAGTCCGTGATAGAGTTGCCAGTAACAGCGCTGACGGTAGATACAGATTGGGGAATAACCTTGCCATTCTGCACGTAGAAGCGCTTGATTTCCGAGAGAGTGCCAGTAGATGTACCGTCATTGGTGATAAATTGAGTGACCACTGTGAAGGGGGATGTGGTATCAACGATCTTGCTCGGGCCGAAGAAAGACTGGTTACCCATGCGATACGGGTTGAAGTCACATCCATCAGGGTCACAAGTACCACTATAGCGTTCACTGCTGTATGTGCCGCCACAGGTATCTCCGCTGCACCTAGTCTGGGCTGGGTCATCACAAGGATGGGGTGTGACTGCGGTGGAGATTGAATTGGCCTCCCAGATATCCATCTCAGCACAGCAAGAGCCATAATTGCCAGTACCAGCGTTGACATCGTTGGCAGATGGCACCCAACCTTCTGCATTAGCCTGACCGTTAATGAATTTGAGGTCACGCGGGCATTGAGCATCACAGTAACCGGTACCGTACTTAGCACCGGCTTTGTTTGCAGGATATCGTGCCATGCCACCATCTTCGTCCATGGCCACGAAATAGAGCGCGCCGTTCAACCCGCAGGGAAGGTTCGAGACGTCGACATCGAAGGTAAACTCCTGATTGAGCAGCTGGAACATTTCGTACTTGCTATCATCTGCCATCAGGTAGAGACGCGAGCCAATGTTCTTCTGAGATGCCTGGGTGACGAAGTTCAGTCGCAAAGAGCTGCCGCTGGCGGTAACACCATAAGTGCCCGAGTAATCGGCACCTTCAAGGGCGCAGTTGGTGGCACAAGTAACATCGTCTGGGCAGATAGATTTATCCCACTGATTGCCAGTATAGCAATTGGTGTAGCCCGCAGTGTTGTGTACCCAGCGCCAGTTGGCGTCGACGACAACCTTGCCACTTTGGGAAGTGCAGCTGCCTCCAGCAGTGCACTTTTGCCAAGTCAAGGACGGATGAACCTCAGCTTGGTTGGTGCCCACCTGCTGTGCGTGTGCAGCCCCGAGAAAGGCGGCCAACAACAGGGCATTTTTGTAGATCTTGAAGGAGAGAGTGGAGGCCATGATGTGCAGTGTCAATGTGTACCGAGTTTGATTGCTGGGTGAATTGATGAGAAGGTTCCCATGGACATGGAGTCCTTTTTATATCATAATGGGGCTATCAGAGCATTCATATTGAGCTTCATGTCACGGCTCTACGGTCCGTATCACCGGATGGCGATAAAATGTTATATTTCCTAATGGAGAAGTGCGACCAACACTCCGGGGACACGGAGGGCGTTCCCCAGACCCCACGGCGGGCTAGAAGTAATTGAAGTCATTTCGTGGAGGAGGCGCTTTATGTCTTGGTGCCACCAAGATGACTGTGAACAATCTCGGTAAACATTCCATGCTTGATAGGGGGAAATGATATTTTGCTCGTCGAAATAGGCACCGACAACGCAATTAGGCCAAATGAGAACCCATTGGCGGCTAAATGGACAGCCTCCAAATTAGGAAGGGACACCGCCATGTCGTCTCGAACGCCTTGGAGGGAATGAAACATGCTGGCATATCCAGATTGGGGCAAAATGCCTCAGATCCGTGACAAGGTAGTCAATCCCCGGGTTCTGCAAGAATTAGATCGCGGGGGCAGTAGGCTTTGCCCCAGTTCTCGGTAATTTGCGCTGGGCTCTGCGCACTGGCTTGTGGGAGTGCAATAGGTGCATTAGCGTACTCAAGGCAATTTAGTTTAATCACGAGGATTAAGGATCAAATACCGAGCACAGGCCTGTTACCAATGCAGTGGTGGTCTCATGACAAGTGAAGGTGAGATCGATGCGTAATTTCAGTGCCGAGTGGCTTTTTTTTTGTCACGCTAAGGAAACGGCTATGTTGTAAGAAGATAGAATCCAAATTATGTGAGGATCTGAGGCTATCTGACATTTCTAAGTTATCAAATACAAGTCCCAATGATAGGTATAGATCAAGAGAGGTCAAGGAGATCAAGGTGATGAAGATCAAATAATAAACGCTGATCCACCAGGGGGCAATGGACGGGACCTCAATGCCGGCGGATGAGTCATCGCCGAAAACAGCTTGGAAGTGGAATTCCCGAGGTCACCAAAAAAAAAAAGAGCAATTCCTCCTCATCCTCTTAGCCATTCGAAAGAATATCAGCGGATTCAACACCGCTCTATCATTGATCATGGCATCCAGCTTCATTTTGACCCTTTCTGGCCCTGACCGTCCCGGTATCGTCCACGCGGTCACTGCATTCCTCGTGCAGAACAACCTCAACATTATCGATTCGTCGCAGTTCGGAGATCCTGCCTCTGAGCGCTTCTTTATGCGCACACAATTTGCAATTGCAGGTGAAAGAGATGAAACCCCTGAACTCGAGAAATTGCGCACTGCGTTCGAGCCCACTGCACAGTCATTCTCCCTCAACTTCGAGATCAACCCCACCATGAAAAAGCCCCGCGTGCTGATCATGGTCTCCAAGATCGGCCACTGCCTCAACGATCTGCTATTCCGTCAATCCACCGGTCAACTGAGCATTGAGGTACCTTTAATCGTTTCCAACCACCCGGATTTCGCTACCCTCGCGGCCACCTATAATATCCCATTCCACCACCTCCCCGTCACTGCAGATACCAAGGCGCAGCAGGAAGCCCAGATTTTGGAATTGGTGAGCCAACACAACGTTGATTTGATTGTGCTAGCTCGGTATATGCAGGTGTTGTCTCCAACCCTGTGCTCTGCCATGTCCGGTCGCATTATCAATATCCACCACAGTTTCCTACCCTCCTTCAAGGGCGCCAAGCCCTACCACCAGGCATACGACCGTGGTGTGAAGATCATCGGTGCTACTGCCCATTTCGTCACCAGTGACTTGGACGAAGGACCGATCATCGAACAGAACGTCGTTCGGGTCAACCACGGCATGAGCCCCAAGGAGCTGACCCATGCCGGCAGTAACGTGGAGAGCAACGTTCTCGCCACTGCTGTCAAGTACGTGACAGAGCGCCGTGTGATCTTGAACGGCCATAAGACTGTTGTCTTCAACTAAGTCATTGAGTCTCACTCTACCAACCCTGCGATTTATATTGCCATTTTGCACACCTGGCCTTTGTTAAATCATCCCCTTCAGCGATCGTTTTTTTTGATACCTCTATGGTCAATCTTATAGACCATAGGACTACCGAGAAAAGAAAATCGCAGTCAAAATAGATTCGGAGGTTGAATGAATATATCTATGTATATATCTCTCTCTCTCTTCATAAAATACAATGACTCAGTAGACTTTTGAGCCTCGTAGATTCAATCTCATAGCGAGCCGGAGAACTGCATGGTCCAAGATTACATATACACATGCATTGGCGCCTCTTATATACATATATATCCTCCTATCTTCATCTTTTGACTTTTTGACGATTTTTGTTTTTTTCCCCTTCCCAAAAGCAAGCGCTCAGACGCATTCGTATTTGGTGGGGAAGATAAAATTCAACATCTGCACTGCGCAAAGATTTCCATTCCATATCTCGAACCAAAATGACTTACACCGTTTCTCCTCATCTCGAATACTTCACCATCCCTCTCACAAAATTTGCGGCTGCCCGACCTGAATTTGGAGGGTTTGGTGTTGGCGCGTACATTTTCTCCCATGCCGATCCCACTCCGCGTATCCTTCTTCTCCAGCGCGCACTGACGGACTCTATGCCTGGCTGTTGGGAGGGCCCTGGAGGCGCATGCGAACTGGAAACCGACAAAACATTACTTGATTCTCTTGTGCGTGAAACGCTAGAAGAAACTGGGTTGCACGTGTCTCACATTATTGACCTCGTTGCGGTGGATTGTTGGGAGCATCATCGGCATAGTGGCGGCAAAATCCGTATTGCCAAGTATTCGTTTGTTGTCGAGGTTCAAGAGGCGTTGCTATGGTCAGCAGGAAAACAGCAATCGGTGCCAACCCTCCAAATACCTGTTCAACTTGAGCCATTGGAGCACCAGAAATTCGACTGGGCGATAAAAGAAGACGTTCTGCTTTCCGTTCAGTCACCCAACGGTCGGTATATGTTCCCGTTGCACTTAATTAGCCATCAAGCTCCAAACATCATCCGTGCTTTTGAACTGGTTGAAGAACGACAAAGCAAGGAATAAATGGTCCGAGGATCTCGCGCAATAATGTCTGGAATGTGTATTTATATTGACATTAACTGGCTATAAAACTCAGCAAATTGCTCTCCTTTTCTCGGGGATATCAATATATTTCGTAAGTGAAGTAGAATTTCACATCGTTCCCACGTGTTGTAGTTGTTTTTGCTCTGCATCTCAGTTCTTACTAGAAACTATAAATAAATGCGCAGAGCCACCACTCGTATAAGTGAAAGTTAGCGTATAGAAAATTGAGGGTTAGAGGATGAATATTATTATGAAAAGAGAATTTTTGGGTCGTGACGGACATGATACGCATATACACAAACGAGGAAACAAACCGATCTTTGAGAGGACCCGAGAAGAACAAGGACATATGAGTCACCAACTCTCGATAAATCATATCAAAGCGAGCCCTCGGCTGGGTTCATGGGTTTGCCCTAGGCGTGCTGGAGCTGGATGTTGATGACCTAGGCGGGACTTCCCCGGGCATTGGCTTGCGAGCCCACACTCTTCTCCTGTACCGGCGGTCAGTCTGACCGGCGAATAACTTGAACAATGTCAGATTAGGACATACGTTTTGTGATATGCATGGAAGTGCGGGTTCTTGATTTCATTGCGTAACTTGGCGCAGTATACATGAACTTGATCCTTAGTCCACGGCTCGGGGTCACCGAATTTTGTTAGTAGCCACATACACCACCCTTCCATTCCAGACATCCAGTGTTGGCAATTTACTAGGCCTGCCTCCTTGAACCTTTGGTCTCTGGGCCATGGCCCAATTGGCCATTTGTAGATCTTTTCGTGCACGTCCACAAATCCTGCGTTCTTAATGCTCTCCGACATGGTAAGGACGATATCACAAGAGCGACCGGCGCGATCACCACATATCTGTATAAGCGGACCCCACGAAGACAAGGCACTATCAATTGGGAGACTACCATCGTCACTTGTGATAAAGGGGCCGACCTCAATCTGCTCGATCCACCCACCAGGGGCCATTTTCCTGTTATACTGTCAGATCCACCTGGACATGATGAAGAGAAATTGGCAGCCTACTCAAAGCACTGCTGATAAACACGGTCCCACTCAAATGAATCAAATGATCCGATCATGTTGCGCATATGAATTAGATCAAACTGTGCGCGCCATGTCCACTCTTGCAGCACATCATCAACCTCAATGACGCAATTAGGCGGCATCCAGGTGACTGGAGGAGGAAAGAGGTCAACTCCGCGGACAGTGGCATTCGGATACATATCAGCAACATCGCTAGGAAATGTAAGCCCCCAACACTTTCACTTGTTCGAGTCTGCAGACGTACATGGCCCAAGTGCCCTTTCCGGTTCCAATATCGAGAACCTGCAGGGGCCATTCTCGGTCGATCCCGATGGGTGACCGAAATAGTGGATTGGCTTGATCTGATTCCATAATGAGATCCACGATGTGTCTGTCGCGATAGTCAGGGGTGTTTTTTTAGACTAATATTGGAATATTTACCCTGCCTCATAGGTCTCAAATTGTAGCTCATCGGATGGAACACTGTATTAAAATGAGTCTATCCTTGTTGTGCGGCATTCCAACCGCATACCAATATTCTTTGTTTGAAAGCGATTGATATCTACAGAAATATGAGATGTCAGATACCACCAAGTGATCTAATGTGCGAAGCTCTTACCGTCTCCCATTGTCCATCAAACCACGATATATTGATGAGTTGACTGATGTGGTCTCCCTAATGACGTGTTAAGGAACACATGAAGTATATGATATCAAAGATCACATGCAAACTCACGACTCCCAGTCATCGGGGATATAAGCACTGCCAGGAGCGTACAAATCTGGATCCACAGGGATAGCATCCATATTTTTCATATTATATATGTTATATATATGTATATGTATATAAAATCTAAGATCAAGGAACAATAACAAATATATGTTGTATATATAGTATGAGGTGGGGAGAACAAGCTTAGAAAGGGAAAGAGAAATAATCTCGGAATAAGCTCTGGAGAGATCCATGGATCACCGTTAATATTACATAATCGCCCGTGCTGTTCCAAGGTTTCCAGGGTTTTTGACTTCCCTTTTCCCAATAAAGTGCGATCGCTGATTGGCTGGGGAAACCCCAACTCTCCTCCCGAGGGTCTCAATGCTTCAAGGTTTGCCAAATTGGGAATCTTCGTCAAATATCTGGCTCCTGTGCCCCACATGGAAAAAAACTATTAGCTTTCCACTAGATCTACTATTGGTTTAGTTATCATTCAAATCCAAGGAACCTTAGAACCTTGGAAGTCCCAAGGTTTACTTTGTAGTCCGTACCAGTACACACAATGTGCACTTGGGCATAGATATGTACTGACATAGTTGGAATCACTCAATTCAGCCGACCGAGAGAAATAATCTCTTACCTTCTGACACCAAGACCAAAAGGCTGCCGAGGAATAACTATAACTGAAAAAAATATTCGCGATGTATGATTCAAATCACAGAGGATTTGTAGTCCTAGGTGATATTATTCGTATTCGTGTTGACTCGATACTTGCCACTGAGGTGTCTTGGGCGGTAGGTTTGCTTCCGGAGGTGCTATAAGCCATGGGCTAATTGTGAGTCTTAAGGGGATAGAAAAGGCCTATAAAATGCATGTGAAACCTGGAATATTTCGAAATGGTCGCTTTTAACTTCCTGGAGACCATATTGTTGATCTTCAGGTCAACAAACTACCTCATATGCAGAAGATGATTAGCGTAAGCGAAAGAGCGAAGAAAACCTTCAAATGACGGAATACCAAGGTATAAATGTCAGTTTCCTTTTCCTAGTCTCTTTGGCAATCACCAAATCGCCCCTGTGAAGTATACTATTATCCACAATGAATTCTACCGAGAGCGCACGTAACCCGGAGTGCTGACTATTGGCTCGGACTCGCACATATATTTATCAGGGGCAGTAGGCTGTCTCGCAATTGGACTGAGTGCTACGGATGTTAACTTTGGTAACTGGTCGACCCCGGTGATCTGCTTGCGGCAATAAATTTAAGCCGATGGAGCCGCCTTAGGGCTGCAAGGATATCCTTGGATATAAAAAACTCAAAAAGCGATCTCGCATGTGTTGAAGCATGTCATTGTGGTGATTATCCTAGGGCTGCCAGATACAGGAAGAAACAGAGAAAAAGCAGCCAGCCCTAGAACAGACGAAAATGCTTCAGGCAAAGTGCAAAGACTGGGAGACTCTATCAAAATGGATACAGTGCGTGTCTATTTTTTTCTTCTATCAATAGAGTGCCAGAACTAATGGTAGTCTTCAAGCTGGCGTCAGCGGAGTTGCTGATTGGTATGAAAATACGCTAAACGCTGGTATGTGCTGCCTGGTGCACATATATCTGATATTCCGTGAGTGGGCCCAACAGGATCTGAATATTGTTGTTGATGGAAAGGGCTTTGGTTGCGGATCATCTCGCGAATAAGCACCGATGGTACTGTTAGGCAAGTCAAGCCCAACAATCGCATTAAACCAAATCCGAGATTTTTGACAATGAGATAGATAGTTTCTGGATGCGTTGCTCAATGTGTTATAGTCAGATTGTTTAAATTTATCTTCCAGCAAAATCCGCCAAGTCTCGGGCTCCTAGAAACCACAATAGAGGGTGAATCATTCCTCCAAGTTGCGAATAATAGAATACCAATCACCACAAATTTAGATTCCACAGCTATCGGATTCGACAGGAAGAGATTTGTATTCAAACTCGGTGAAATAGAAAGCAAGATCTTCCAATTCGGTGGGATTGCCTCTGCTTTTGGGGATTTTGGAAACAAGGTACTTGGAGCAATAACTCCAGCCAAACTTCCTCCAGGGCTTCAAAAGGAGATTTTAGAACAACGGATATAGGATTATAATCGTGAACACCGTACTCGCTTTCTCTAGTTTGCTCGCTTCATTGCGTGACCATATAGATTAGTCTCGCGTGGATGAGAAAAACAAGATCCACGTTGGAAGTTTATATTCGCCCTAACGCCCATCCAAGTTAGTAGGAGAAACGATCATAACAAAGGAAAATGGACAATGAAGCAAAATCAAGAAAGGAAAGCTGTTGACCAGCTATAAAAAGGGAGCCTTGGATGGATTTAACTTATCAAGAGGTCCTAAACAATAATACAGGCTGAACAGCCTCCCACAGTTACGCCAGCAGTGGTCAAGCAAATATTGATCTCCCTGGTATCTAGAATGATTTTGATTAAATGCGTGCTTATCTTTCTCTAGAGAAGAATAGTGATCGAGATGTTCTCGGTTTCGAAGAGACTAAATATTTTCGTTAAGATTAGATAGAAAGGTAAGAAGGACCCCGAGAACCCCGTCAAACTCAAAGCAGAGGTGTATTGGTGGGTGAAATCCGAAACACACTTGGGGTCGGCTATTTGGATATTCATTCTATTTTTGCAACACTGATTATATACAAATCAAACTGGAGCATCATAACGAAATAGAAAATCATTCATTTATCTTACTGTTCTATATAGTAGTATCATCATATTGTCAATCTAAGCCAAATCGAGACACTACTCTCGGCTACATCAGCTTCATTTATAGTTCGAAATTAATCTTTAAGTAACTTCTACTTCCTCTTCTTCTCCATCAGATATATAATGTTATTCGTAGGGTCACTCGTTCTGCGTGTTATATATTCTAGGAATAGGTGTCATCTAGCCGAGGATCCATACATTACCCCAGAGACAATAAACCCCGAAACTTATTTGATATTATAGACATACTTGACTCGTGTTGGCATATCAAGACCGACGGCACTGGCAAAACCAACAATGTTTGTCAAGAAGTCGCATATGTAAGCGGCATAACCATACTAAGAAAAACCAAATGTGTTATAATAATAACCGTCTTGTTGAGCAATATACAGCACTTGGACATTAGGAAAGCCCTTGCAGAGTAGATAGAAGTCATCAATCATAACACCTGGAGTCGTGGAAAGAAATATCGAATACATAGAGAGGAATAAGGTGAATTTGCTCGAAAATTCAGCCGAAGTCCACCACAATAGGTTCAATGTTGTTAGTATTTGTGTCACCAATCGGCTTCTGGGATTACCCACCGAACACATAGCAAGATCGAATATCGTATACATACATCTCCCCCTTCAAATCGTGCAAAGCCGAGGGAGAAGAATCGCGAGATAAGTACAAGCCAACACAGTGTTGGTCGCAATATTTGTTGCTAACTGTGCTAGAGTAAAGCCAGCAACTGTAATAAAGATCAATCACTCAGCAGAACTGGTATCCTACAAAAACATACTAAGCAGGGTAAGAGGGGTTCAAACTGCTTATCCAAATATAATACTCGATAGCGAGGAAACAATGATCCCGATGAAGATATGACGGCAAATCCCACAGGAATTGTAATTGATTGAGACTAGAATGCGTCATTGGGTCTATAGAGTCTCGTGTGAAATCAGGATTGTTGATTACCAGTGTAGCAAAGTTTGCATACAGTTTATAATGCTTCCACGAATGCCTAGATCAAAGCCCTGCCTTGTGCCTAGTTGGACTGGTCAATTATCGGACCAGGTCTGTAGGCGCGAGCAATTGCTCAGCCAAAGAAGGCAATAGTATAAGCCGGCGAAAAGTATGTTCTGACCTCAAAAATATACCGAACCTTATTAATAGGGAACGAAAGAGCCGGCAAGGTTAACAACCAGAAAAACAGGAAGCTAACAAACTACTTGATATTATCCCTGATGAATTGGGATTCGAGATTGGTAGATTGTTATGGCTTAGCCAAATAGCAGCAACAATCAAAGTCACAAATTTACGTGAAAGTTAAATAATTGATTAGTTTATTCATTAGTGCTTTTCATCTTCAATCATAGATTAACTCCCAATAAGTATTCCTTTTTGCCAGTTAGTTAGAAGCGAACATATATAGGAAATATTTGCAAAACTGTACACCAAAACAGCCATCGCTGCTTGGTTGATAATTGGCAAGACCGAATCCTAAGTCCCAAATGAAGCTTCATTAGCTACCCCAAGGTATGCGGTAGGTAATACCAATGTGACCCAATATAGAAACAAACCCCGTTACCACAGTATAACCAATCTAAAAGCATAGCCATGATTGCCACCAAGACAGTCCGTTGCCTATCATTGAAGATGAACTTATGCACGTGTTCTGTCAACGAGGGTCAGATATAATAACTAGTACATACTAACAGTGCCAGGAATGAGTAAGCGGAACTGTCATTTGTAGCCCTAAACAATATCATTCTAAACTTACCACATTTAGAGAATATAAAACCCAAAAAAAGCAGCGAAATTAAGGCATCCCAATTGACGGTATTCTAGCTTCAATGAAGACAACATAGAATGAGGAAACTGTCAGTTGTGTAAAGACCAAGGGTAAATAAACGTCATTGAAATTTCTTGATAAGATGCAAGATCATAAGTTCAGACTCCAATCATTGATATAGAGGGTTTCAAAAAGACACTTGGCGATAGTCCCACCTGGTAGAATATCATCGTTAGTCAACATCAGTTGCATTATTGACAATCTAGACTCTGGAGGCACCTAGACCTCGTCTACCAGAACTTCAAGTGACCTAGAGCCATGTTGATAAGAGAATGGTTTTTATTTTAGTATGAAGATGCAGTATAAAGATGAAGCTCATTCAATGTGTTATGATAATAAAGTAGAACATGCTGGCCTAATGTATTGCAGCGAAGATGACAACATCGATGTATGCAAACTTATTAAACCCCAACACGAGTTAGGTATATCTCAACGCACATTATTTTTGCCAACGGGCATCTCAGCATGTATAAACTCCAGCCCCGCATCCAGTCAATTCGGGATGTTATTGACCCCTAGTATATTTCATATATCCTGTATATTCCATTGAAAGTGGACAATAGGTACCCAAATACATACTCTGATGAGTGTATCACGCTGTGTGGCTTTGGCTACTGCGCTTTCCTCTCGAAGAGGTCGGCCTTTCGAGGCTTTAAGTTATTCTTACCAATCACATATCTTGTATGGACACGGAGGTTTGGAAGGATGTAGACTATCGTCTAGTCAGTGGATGAAACCAAAGAACAAATTAGTACCACATCGAGTTATCCAAAGGTAATACTGAGCCATCTGTGTGTCAATTATAAGGGCCCTTGTCTTCTGTGTTCGGATATCTAGGGGGAGATGCATGCATAATTATTTCCCCGGAAAGTCGTGTTTTGTGCCATACTTTGAGAGTAGTTGATTAATTACTTGATAATTTCCGTGTCTTGAACAAATCTACGCATGCAAGGCCGAGAAAACAAGTTCATAATATCGAGCTGATGTTTCAGATTAAGCTCTCGGCAGCATCTATATTATGGTCGTATCCATTTTTTCGGTCTAATACTACACCACATTTTGTCCTAGCCCTCTCGTTGGTATTTGCTGTTAAAATTGGAGTTGATCGAAAGAAATGATGGCACCCAAAGAAACTATTATTTCGCTTTTTCACCTGCCTTCGATGCCCGAATTATCTCTTTCATCTTAAATACCTCATCTGCGCAGGCCACCTCTTCCGAGGCCAAAAGAGCAGCGGAATGGAAGGCCTCGGCACCAGTGATGTTGCGGAGCAAGCCTATATTTGATGCCCTCACACCTCCTCCAACAATGATTTCTGGAACTCTGTTGGTTTGAAGTCCACTTTCACCTTGTAGTTGCGTTATATAACGTACTAAAATGTGCAGCTTATCAACACATTCTGTTGCTTTTGTTCCGGAAGGACCACCGTTGGTTAAGATCGATGCAAAGCCACACTCCATGATATCGGCCAATGCGTTCTCCCAGTGGGATTCGGGAATGAGATCAAAAGCGCGATGAAATGTGCATGGCCGCCCGTCGGCTAATTGGACAAGCTGCTTATTACGGGATACATCGACCCACGACACATTTGGATCGCAAGGCTTTTGTGGGGGTCGATTTAAAATCCCGAAAACGAAACCGTCAGCCCCATAGGACTTGAGGGAATTGAGCGTTCGTTTCATTGCCTCGAATTCGAATTCTCCATAATAAAAGCCTTCCGCATGTGGCCGAATCATCGTATATATCGGTATTGTGAGCAGTGATTTCAATTTTTCGAGGATCTCTGTATCCGCCGATAGGCCACCGAGATGGTAGTCCTTGCATAATCTTGGATAAAATTAGTGATAGATCGGAAGGATATTTAGCAACAAAAAAATAAAATTCGAAATGCATAGAGTTGGTGCAGATAAATTTTTGGCAAGGTGGAGGGGCCCAACTTGAGTACAATACTCACTCGATACGATCTGCTCCTGCTTTCGCAGCAACTACGGCTGATTCTTGATTGAAACACGCAATCTCCAGAATTGGCCCTTGGATAATAACGGCTTGACTCATGACTTATATTACCTGGTTTGTGGCTATGTTGTAACGAGTACGGAATTAGGTGTGGGAAGAGGGAGCTTTTGTAGTGCGATTGTATGCGGGTCACCTGGTTGATCATCTTAAAATAGAGGGGTGGAAACTGACTTCTGTCCAATATTCCAGAAAGCCCAACACATACGGTTATATTTTTTTCTTCCGTTTTCTCTTTGACATGGATGATTATTGGACAAGCGCAGCAATGTAACGCTATTCTAATCCGATTGTCTTCAATATTGTTATCAGAGCGGGGAAAACGGGTCGACATGATTGCCGATTGAAAGCAAACACAAGCTTGCAACCACAACACTTCACTCTCCCATTCTTATCCTTTTTGCGGTTCTCAGAATACTTTTTTCTCTGCGAATAATGTCTCAACGACCAGTTATCGCTATTGCAGGACTTGCTTGTGAGACCTCGACCTTTTCCCCCGCTCGGACACGCGGTGGGGCGTTTCACCCCCGTCGTGGCCCAGAGGTGGTCGAGAAGTACGCTTTTCTGCACCATGGCACTTATCTTGCAGATGCTGCAGACTGGAAGGGGGCACTCATAGGCCATGCTCTTCCAGGGGGAGTCGTGGTACGAGAGGATTTCGAAGAACTTTCCAAGGAAATTTTAGAGCGGTTGGCTAGAACAGTCGCTTCAAACCCTATTGACGGATTATGGTACGATATTCACGGCGCAATGTGTGTTGAGGGCATGGAAGATGTCGAAGCAGAGCTTCTTCGGCGGATTCGAACTGTCATTGGCCCAGATGTTCTGGTCTCGGCATCCATGGATCTACACGGAAATGTGTCCAGAGAGCTGGCCCACCAGACGGACCTGATCACTTGTTATCGCATGGCACCTCATGAGGATGCCTTGGTAACAAAAGAACGGGCCTGTCGCAATCTTGTAGATGTTCTGACTTGTCGAACCGACACAGAAAGAGGGAATAGACCCCTAAAAGCATGGGTCCCAATTCCTATCTTGCTGCCGGGAGAGCAGACCTCGACTCGCAACGAACCCGCGAAAAGCCTGTATTCACTCGTCCCCGAGATTGAAGCGATGGAAAATGTACTCGACGCAGCCATCTGGGTTGGCTATGCGTGGGCAGATGAGCCACGAAACCATGCTGTGGTAATGGTCACTGGATGGAATAAGGCTGCTATCACTAGAGGGGCGAAGCGACTTGCATCTTTGTTCTGGCATGTTCACAAGGAATTCCATTTCGTTGCCCCAACCGGCTCTTTCTCCGAATGCATTGACAACGCGCTGGCATCTTCAAATAAGCCCTTCTTCATTTCTGATTCGGGGGATAACCCTACTGCTGGTGGATCAGGTGACGTGACCTTCGGCTTGAATCAATTGTTAACGCGACCGGAGTTTTACAAAAGTACTAGTTCATCTGTTATTTATGCTAGTATTCCCGGACCAGAGGCAATTGACATTATAGTCAAGGCTGGTGTGGGAACTACAGTGACGGTCACCGCCGGGGCAATGGTGGACAATCTGCACGCTGGACCCATCACTATGACAGGACGCGTTCATTCCATTAGGCATGGAGATCTCGATGCGGAAGTTGAAGCAGTTCTACAAGTTGGAAGTGTCTTTACTATCCTGACCAAATTCCGCAAGCCATATCATCATGAGAGTGACTTTATCGGACTTGAACTTTGTCCCCGAGCGACAGACATCGTTATAGTCAAGATAGGATATCTTGAGCCAGAGCTATTTGATATGGCGGCAGACTGGATGCTTGCTTTGACTCCTGGCGGTGTTGACCAGGACCTCCAGCGTCTTGGACACCACCGTATCCGCCGTCCACTCTGGCCCTTTGACAGAGCATTCCACATGGCCCCGGATCTTACCCCGCAGCTAATTCCATTCTCAAATGAAGACTTAACAATGTGTTAAAATGAACCGTGGACTATTGTGATACCTGGTTGTTGAGGTTCCACCTCTAGTAGTTTGAATTGCTAGAGCATTTACAGAGTTCTGGCCTCCTATTGTAAAACCTGCATTTTTTTTACTGCAGTGCATTCGAAGATTGATTTTGTTAGTATATAGACTAACCAAATCCAACCATTCGCTTAGCACTGACATCTGTGCATTGAGTCGCTGGTCCAGAAACGCCCCATAACTATGACTCATTCACGTTTCACTTGGTATTTATTAGACTTTAATCACGCAAAGAACGGACTAAATCTTTGACCCATTGTCTAAAGGTTCGTCGATTTCTCTTATCAAGCAAAGCCACATAGGTTGTCGGTTTTTTTTACCTTGCTAACAACACCTTCTAGCTCTATTATGGCTTCCGAAGGAGCAAAGCGCTGCTTTGCCACATCATCCCCATATGAAGAAAAGATTGGTTACTATCGGGCCGTTCGCCATGGCAATCAAATATTCGTTTCTGGAACTACGGCTGTTGATCCCTGCTCTCCCGCCAATGCGCCGCGAATACTTCACCCAGAAGATGCCAAACAACACACATGTGTTGCTCTAGAAGGGTGTATTCAAGCTATCAGAGGACTTGGTGGCAAGGGCCCGGAGGATATAGTTCGTGTGAAGATGTTCGTCAGTCGCCACGAGGACTGTGAAGCTGTGGGGCTAGGATTTAGTGAGATATTAGGCAAGCACAATCGTGGAGAACAGGGTATGATAGGAGCTGCTGCAACAATGATCGTGGTTAATGGCGGCTTTGTACATACATAAAGAGATGCTTGTTGAGATTGAAGTAGATGCTATTTGTTGATATCTTGTTATAACGTCCCCCTGGACTGGCGAGTTACACACTAACTCTATCCTATAGGGGTGGTTGTAGTCTAGTAGACTGGAATTAGGACTTTGTCTTAACTATAGCGGGAAAAAGTGTGGCTATAAGTAGACTAGTGTGATTCAGAAAGGATCGTATAGTTTTTTATTAGACTGGGGGACTTAGGCTACTATATATATAGACTGCGACATCGCCCGTCCATGGGCACTAGAAAGTGTCCACGGCCCGTGGGCCTTTTGAAATTTGACGCCCATCGCCCACCGTTATGCAAAATTAATGCAAAAATTACCCTATTAGGCTATTTTATGTACATAACTAGTTCTTGGCAGTATCCACCTTGCCAAGAGTGCCCGCATATGTATCAGCGAATACAATAGAATCAGATGTATCTATTGGTGCGGTGATCCTGCTACACAGTAGATATTGATAATAATTGATTTATTGATTGCTTGAGACTAGACCTGGCAGTGACCCTCCGGGTGGTCCATGACCTTGGACCCTCCGAGGGTCCAGCGACCCGCCAAGACCTGGAGTTCTACATAAATATACATAAAACATGGTTTATAAGCATAATATTTCCTATTTAGGATAGTTTATGTATACATAATTTTCTTGGCGGGTCTAGGATCCTGACTTTAGACCCTCCTTAGCGCCTTGGCGGGTCCAAATGGAGGGTCACTGCCAGGTCTACTTGAGACTAACTAGGATCGAGAATGCTAACTATTTTGATATTCGAGTCTGGGTTGGAACGGTCATATAATCCAGTATATGACACTCACGTGACCCAATATCCCCCTTCAGACTCTAATCTCATTAAGACAATTCTCTATAAAAATCCAGTTGTCTCCTTTCGTTGTTGTTGTTTTTTTTTTTTTTTCATTGTATACTTTAAATACAGAGATAGAGTATATTGATAAATATTTCAAATTACTCTCTCTCTAGTGGCTTTGTCAGTCTATCAGCTATATTCCTCTTTGTATCAACTCGTAGAATATTAATCTTTCCGAGGTGCACTGTATCCTTAACGAAAAACCACTTAAGATCTATCCAACGAGTAGAGTACTTAGCACCCTTCTTTGTTATAAGAATCTGCGTGTTAATATTGTTAGTTAGGATAACAATTAGCTTTTCAGTATCTTCTAGTTATAGAGACTCCGCAATTTTCTTTAGCTATTGTACGTCTCTTATAGGTCTATTAAGTGTACACCACTCAGAGGTAGTTAATAAAGGCGTATTAATAGTCTATTTTCTTAAATTCTAGATAATCGGAGCGCCAGTAAAAAACTAAATTATCCCTTTAGTTAACTTCTTATCTAGCTAGTCTCCGTAGGAAGTATCTATATAGGTGTAAAAGCGTTAGTCCTTAATATATCCTAGAGTAATCGTAAAATCCTTTATTCTTTTTAGATAACAGTAGACCTATCGAGCAGCCTAGAGATCTCTTTCGGTAGGATTAGTAGCCCGATATTGAAGTTTTATAACTACAAACTTAATATCCGGTCTTATCTCTACTGCTAACCAATTAAGATATCCCACTATTAATCTATATCTAGTGTGTTCTTTTCCGTAAAGAAGTGTCTCCGGGTCTTCGTTTTTATTATCCTAGATCTAGGAGGATAAAAGTAGGATTACTACTAGACCTTGCCAACTCCCATGGGACTAGAAAAATTTTGGTCCCATATCCTGGTCCTATCACTCCCATGGGACTAGCCAAAATTTTGGTCCCATTACTATAGTGGTCCTATAGGAGTCCTATAGGAGTGATGGGACTCCTATATAGTCCTATGGTATACATATTTTTGCCAAGTATTTCCTATTTTAGTTGCACAAAAATGCTAACTCAGCAGATAAAATACTGTTTTTTATAGGTGTATCAACATTCTCACTTTAAGTTTATAGCAATCTAACTTTTTTATATAGTATACTATTAAAAATAGAAGATAAATATCTTAGCTATATATTTAAATATTATATTCAAGCAAAAGTAAGCTCAAATATATAAAATTAGGTGTAGGAGATCAAGAAGAAGTTGTTAACTTAGTATTGTAGTCACTTAGTAGAGATATATATATTTATATATATACTATACTCTCTAGTTTTAACTAAGCTCTATATATATTAAAAATTATACCAAAATATAATAAATCCTTTTTTTTTTTTTATAGTATTAGATACTATAGGTCTTTATTTTATCGTTTTATTTTAAAACTACTCTTAATATTATATTATTGGTATAGAAATCAATATCTGGACTGCGATATCGCCTATAGACGGGCGGGTAGGTACTGCCTACGGGCCTTATAGCCTTTTTAGTAACTAAGTAGAATTCCTTAACCTTATAACCTATATTATTTGTGTATTTTTTCTTTATATTTTTAAGTAGAATTGCGATTTGCTGAACCGGCGCCGTTTTCGGCGCCCCCCCTCTTGGGGTTTAGCGCCCGTAGGGCCGCCACCGGATCCGGTATCGCGTCCGTCTACTTGGGGGTTAGCCCGTCCGCAACAGGTTTGGCGCCTCACGCTAGCCCTGATCGGGATCTGCCGTCTCGTACCGCCCGTCACGCGACATCCGCTATCTATATAATCCGCGGTGCGTCGCTCAACGACAACTCTCTTCTTTCCCACGCCTATTCCCCCCTTTCCCCCTCTATTATTTTTCGCCAGTATCATTCCCTGATCCGCTGACGTGGCCCCTACTAGCTGAAAATTCTGCGCCCCGAACACAGCCTGCTTCCCCACTCGCGGAAATTTGAAAGAGTCGTCAGTCTAGCCCTACGAGTCACCCGGATCGCCCTTGATTTCCCAGTTCTATATAGCTCAATACATTCTTCGTTTTATACTGTACGCTACGGAGGGTCGCTGTTTCAACCGTTATAGATATCACCCTCGGTCTGCTTGATAACTGGATATCTGAAGTGGAATATAGGAGGACTACTCGCCGCTCTTTGTCTTAGGCTTCGGTTTGCGAATACTACGCAGCACACCGCAGAACGGCCACCTCTGCTCTTTCAGACGACCCCTGATTGAATAGCCGGTAAGTCGCTCGCTGTGACCCGCTTCCGCTCTCTATCCAACCGCAAAAATGCCTTAAGGAGGTCTGACGCTAAGCTGAGATATCGCAAATATCTATGAAATTGATAGCTTATATAATCGGCTTACGTGATCGGCGAATTGTAGGCTGCCGCTCGGATTGAGGGATTTTTTCTTATCAATATCTTCCCAATCTATCGATTGTTAGCTAAGGTGTCCTGGAGGCTGTAACGTTACACAGTGGCTACTACAAACCTAAGGCACCCTTTAACGAGGCCGGTTAGCTAGATTAGTCCGGAGTACTCTTAAGTGATCGCCCGACGTAAGCAGCGAATAGTATCAACGAGGCAGTGCTGTCGCAGTTCTCGGTTATATAGGGTCCGTAAGGCGATATACTGTATAATTCCTCAGCTAGTAATACCCTAACGGCGCCTAGGTATTAAAAAGGATAACTGACCTCCTTTTCCTATTCTTTAGATATAATTCAGAACGGACGTAGACACACTAGCCCACTAGTGACCGCTGCACTCTTATTTAAGCTTACTTTATTATCTATTGGTTTCTACCTCCGCTATATCTCCGCTGTGTCTTACTACCTTCTAGGAAATAAGGGTAGATCTTAATCAAATCGAGTTCTACTATAGCCTAAGTCGCCCGCCGCTTTCTACCAGTGCAAAAAGCGTGCCCCCTAACCACACCCCAGCTTATATACTACGATACCTCCAGCAGTCTTTTCCCACTGGGTTCGGCTTCTGTCTAGGACCGTATAAGGTACCCCTAGGACAGTCACCGCCACTGACCGGTATAACTAATAAGTAGAACTTATTTAACTTCGAGATCAACTGTACCTATAGTCCCACTCGGCCTAAAATAACGAAAGATATCGAACCCCCAGTGACACCAGTGATAATAAATATACTAGCTTCCCGTGATATTCTGTTGGGTTATAGAAGTTCCGCGCTGGCTTTCTCAGAGCCAGTGCTATTAACAGACTCCGCGAAAACAATTCTATATCCTTTAGGGCTAGACCTAGACTATATTCCTGATATACGGGGAAATAATTTACCGGGTAAGTTGATATAATATATTGAAATTCGGCTATTATCCTCTTATTGTCTAACTTTTTTATTATTGTAGACACTGTTCCTAATACCTAAGAAATAGAGACTTCTTAACTATCGTATACACCCTATATAACCGCACCTGTGTCTGCACCAGAACCTATACCCGAACAAGCGAACTATATCTCTAGCAACCTGTCTGTAGTAGGTGATTTTCAGCGAGAATTAGCTAAGCGGAAGTTATCTACTATAGAGCCCTCAGATATTTTAGACAGTGGGGTCTACGAAAGTGATTCGGAGCCGAGTTAGATATCTAACCTAGGTAAAGATCTATACTCAAGGGTAAACAAGGCTTCTGAGCGGGCTGAAGATCCTAACACTACTAAAGACACGTCAGCTATATCTAGCCCGTTCTCTCCGCCGACGGCTCGCTCTATATTAATATATTCTCGAGCTCGAAAGACACCGAGTTCTAAACCCCCGGTGCGCTACCCGTCGATAGCTATAGTTATACCGTCAACGTCCTAGAAACAAGAAGCCTCTAGGATAAGTATAAGGGCCGCTGCGGTAGTATACAAGAAGCGACTCCGCTTAGGTCGAGGTACCGGCGACCACTAAGATAAGAACACCCCCTATAATACAGTACAGCTGTGTCAAAAGAGGAAGAAAAGGAGACCTTCAATTAGGCCACTTTCTAACCCTTCGAAATCTTCCGTTCCTATTTTATCTTATCGCTCTGGTACTATCTAGGGTTTATATAGGAGTGCTATCCTCACGGTCGAGTCTAATACTGGTCTGAAACCGGTGTATTTCTTTACTTTCGTACCCGACCCTAGCCCAATACTACCTCTAGCCTACACAGCGGTTATCCCCCTATTGAAACACACGTACACATCGGATAAGAATACGCTGCTCGTGCGGCTGAAGGAAAAAGAGGCAATATTATAGTCTGAGATTACGACTCACTTCCTAGGTCGAAATATATCATCCCTTCAAGTTCACTATTTAACTAAATTACACTATAAGGCCAGCTCTCGGTCTAGAAGACCGAAGAAACGCCAATAAGAGAGGCTATACTGTCGGGATATTTCTTGGTTCGCGCCTATCGACCTTTCGCTGTATACAATATCCTCTGTAGCTATCTGTTTCAATATAAGTATTGAGGGCGGCTTTGTGTACTCTGTAAACTACGGACCTATAAATAACTATATATAATTAGTTTTACCTTTTTAGGTTTAGCGCCTCAATACGCTATCGCGTAATCTAGCTTCAATTAGATCCAGCTCTAAGGTAAGAAGACGCCTATAGCAATAGAATATAACCCGGCCTTAACCAATGATATTATTAGGAGATACACTAGCCAGTCCTAAATCCCACTAGATAGTGTTTTTACTACCACCCTAGGTGAAACCTAAGAGATATTGGTCGCGGAGTCCTCCGTATTTAAGGTCATAGTCGTCGATATACTTATTTTATAACTTTCTATCCAGAGGTTACTTAACGCCCGTCTATACTATTACTGTCCGAGATATCCCCCTAATCAGTCTTTACGCTCCGACGATTTCTCTAAGAATTTATCCTTAGGGTAAGTGGTATAGGGGAGATATTGTAAACGAACCGTATCTACAACGTATAAGGATAGAGATTTAGGGTTGACCAGCCACTCGACGAAACCGCCGCAAAACTCAGCTTATTCGGGGGGGGGGGGCTATAACCACGTACACAGAGCCAGTAAGTATATAGAATATATAGGCTTCAGGATATAGAAGAGAGATATACCCAAAGAGAGAAATTAGCTATTCAGATTAATTTAATGGTGTTTTGGTTTAAATAATCGCATTTAATTTCCCTAACGAGAAATTATAGTATTTAGATCAATCGATAGTATATAGCTTGTACTGTCTGGCTACGAGGATATTACCGCGGGAATTAGCTCTTACTATCGATAGACTTATTCTAGTTAAGAGCAGCGCGTTTGTACTAAATAAACTAAAGCTCACTTCATTATTTATCAAGATCGAAATCTGAAGATATCACGTATTTTCTTTATAATTATCGAAAGGAAAATAGGAAAGAATCGCGGTTTTCTCTATCTCAGTACTTAAATATTCTATTAACCTATCCTTAATACTCTGGATAACAGCCCTACACCGTTTATACTTATCCTCGTTTAAAACCCAGCCTAGGGTATCTGTCCCAATAAGATCCTTTATCTCGTCTAGTTCCTATAGCTTCTCCTGTTCTTAGCGGTGATCCTCCGAATATTTCTACTTTTCCTCCTCAGAAAAGTGAACTGGACACTTAATAAACCTCGGTTGTGCTCCTTTATCCAGCGATATAGGCCAATTTTTAAGGACTTATAATATAGTATACTTTAAAGACGCAGAGTCCCCTTCCTAGGGAGCCTATATATAATAAAAAAGCTTCGCTCGAAGTATACAGTGTAGGGTTTAGGGTTTAGGTTTAGGGTTTAGGTTTAGGGTTTAGGGTTTAGGTTTAGGTTTAGGGTTTAGGGTTTA